GTTGACAAGCGCTTCTACTACATTACCTACGCTCCCGAGAAGCGCGAGGAGGAAGCTACGAACACCAAGGAAGCCATGAACACTGAGTAAGGGCTGTCAATATTTGAGCCCGACAAGGCTTGGAAGACGATTCTAAGGGGGCTATCGACGCTCTACGCCAAGCTACATGGTCTTTTGCGAAAGACATGAGCCTATCGGTTGCCCCAGGATTGCTTCACACGGGCTTGGGAAACGATGCACGACTCCAAGTACGAAATGCTATTCACAGTCAACTTCATGATTTGCTTCTTCTTGCTGCTTAGTTCGTAAGATTTCGCTTTGTCTTTTTTTAGTTCGCAGACTCTTTTCTTCGTTACGATGCCAGTCCACTGTCGGGGTCGTCCTGAGCCCGATCAGCCCTTTTCGCTCATTGTGTGTTCTTTGTCAGGGCTAGATCCGTAGTCAGTCATGAGAGACAATATAATGCATGATAATTCGGACTTTTCCAGGAATTCTCGCGGAAACGATGAACGCGAGAGTTATAGAGCTGTACGAGTAGCAAGACTCAGGTCGCTATAGTTCGTAGAGTCAATAATAAAGCTCTAGTTGAAGAAGACTAGCCACTTGAAGCCATTTGGCGCTCGACTCGAGCATTAATTTCGTAGCTCTTTTGTTCAAGTCCTCTGACAACCGGACCGCCTTCAATTTTGTTTAAGCACAGCAAGTTGGCGCCGCTTTAACATGTTTTCTGCCACCGCCTAATTTCAGCAGTTTTCCGTAAAGTTTTTTGGGCGCTGTTCGTCCTTATATCCGCTTATTTCCGTGGTTTTCCGCGGTTTCCATTGCGAGGTTCGCTAGTTTCTGCCACTGGAGGCGGTGGCTTCGGCGGTCGAGGGTGATATACTTACTGACTAGATAGATCGATAGATATTCACAACGTCATGATTACGGCGGACGATTGCGGCCATCGGGCAAATAGAGTTCGTAAGTCCCTTGACCGCTGTTCTTACCGCTTTAAATAAGAACTAGGTCCTGACTATTAGGTGACTCCTGATTAACCGTGACCAAGGTATAAGACACGTATGTGAAGTCACGTGCCCTGGTTATATAATATAAATCTATATATACAAATTAAGCGAGAAACTATCACGTAATATAAGAGATAAAGAGAGATAAAATTCTATAGTGATAAGAATCCTGAAGATGAGAAAGAAAGAGGAAGAAAGGTCCAGAGAACCGCCCTCCCGACTATATAGATATAACCGCGGGATGCCTGAGGTATCCCGCTCTTGTTATATGGACCTTGTCAGCCCGGAGGCCTGACAGTAGGCTGCCTTGCTTGCTTATCTCATTACCTCACTGCTTTAATACTTGCTTGCCTCGCTGCCTCGCTGCCTTGGTTACTTGGTTACTTGCTTGGTTGCTTGCTTGGTTGCTTGGTTGCTCGGTTGGGGTGCTTGGTGAGAAGTACTTGGTGAGAGGTGCGTGGTGAGAGGTGGTTGATGAAAGGCCTCTTAATGTATTGATTCTGCCGGCAGAACACCAAGCAAGATCTCATTTGCCCGATGGCCGCAATCGTCCGCCGTATCATGATGGAAGAGAATCAGTCGGAACTGAATTCCTTCAAATGTCGTCAACATCAAATTTTGCTCATTCCCACCACCGACTGCATGGCTTTGTCTCTCTATTGTCAGCCCATCACAACCGCGACGCATCTGGCATACCATCCATACTTCCACACCCAGCCTTCCTATCTCTGACATTCTTATCGCCATGCCTTGGAGCCAGGCCATTACTCGCGAGGGTTTCTCCTCCGAGTACGGCCGACTTTACACCGCACGTGTCACGTCGAGCCAGTCGACGGCGTCACTCTGCGGTCGATGTTCTTACCCAAGCTCAGTCCAGCCGGCAAGAGAGCCGTAGAGAACTCCGACTTCGTACGCGGGCAATTCCAGCATTACGGCGTGACTTTTGACGAGCGTCAATTCTCTGGTAACGGGACCTTGCTGACGAAACAAGTCCTCCAGGCTGGCGGATGCAAAACACCGTGCCTCCGCGTATCTTGGAGCTGAAGGCGCAGCTGCACCGTGAATGGCTCAATGCCTGCACACCGGAACAGCTTGATCCTGAGTTAATCATTGAAAAATACTTTGGCAGCAAGCGACAGCCGGACTGCACTATTACTACTACCGTTGTCGGGATCCCGTTCCCGCCGTCTAGTCAATTTCGGGCGGGTCAGATGCGTGACGCGGCGAGCAAGGTGGTAGGGCTGCATCAGGAGACAGGCAGCGGACCAAGTACACAGATGGTCTTCATGGGTTGGGATAAGGATGCGGTGGGAAGAGCAGCCAAGGGTCATGCGGCGAAGGAGAAGCAGGAACTTCGAGCTGCCGAAGAGAAACGCGAGTATGAGCGCGCACAGTTGCATGCAAACTACTGTCGCCAGGCTCGGAAAGTGGTTTCACCGGTTGGGAGTTACATCGTTGACAGTGCTGAGATCGAAAGAGAATGGCCGGACCTTGCGAAAGATCTATGTCTCGATATTCACGAGACCGAGAAGCCTGGCACTTTCGAGGCGGAGTTCGACTTCGGGGTTCTGGAAGGCGTGATGATTGTTTGTGCAGACCAGGCCGCCCTAGAACAGTACAGTTCTCGGGCAGACAGGGCCTATGAAAAGTACTGGGCTGATGAAGAAAAAGTGGATGACAACGATTACGAGAACATTTCGGACCTGGATGACGCAGATGAAGATAAAAGGCCCCGGGCAGGTTCCAAGCGAAAGGCCCCTGCTCCGCAACACAGAGGCGGGTCGAAGAAGCACAAAGCAGCTTCCGTCCTTGCATACCGACTGAAGATGAGATCTTGCGAGACTGGCGAGAGTGAGATCAACTACCACTCAGAGAATGGAACTATTGAATTCAAAGATGGGAGATATGCCAGCTTCGTGGCAAAAGCCAACATGTGGTTTGTTGGTCGGGGAGTAAAGTTCACTGCGCGCAAGGTTTCTGATACACCATCTTCGCGCGGCAAGGAGTGGGCAAGCTACTCGGAGAGACAATCTGAAACTGAAAGAGTGAACAGGTGGCATTGAGCCTAGCTCTTACGATCACTATTTCCAAGCATTGTACTGTACTAGAAGCGTTGAGAGCGTCGTCAGCGGTGCCTTCCAAGCCAAGGGCTGGCCTCCTATCTCAAAACCGCCTCTACTACACAATCTTGATGGATTCATTCTATAGAGGAGAGATTATTTCCTCAGTGCTTACTACCAAATCGGGGCGAGTTTTATTATCACTTGTCTCTGGATTCGGTGGATCTCATATGATAAACAATAGCATCCTCTGCTCTATTGCTCACAGCGTACGAGACATAAACAAATAATCCAATTGAAGAACCATCTCTAGACGTGAATCCTCCAGACTAATAAAGAGGAACCTTGTATGCATCAAAGTCATATACCCAAGTAGCATACGACGCTTCATCAAAGACACAGTCCATCGTCGTCCCGTTGTTCTTCCACAGCGGCCGCAAAGGCCAAGCACACAACTGATGCTGCTCGCCCTTGCGCTCTTCGGATAGAACGGTAGCGTTCAGGCGCGTGGGAAACACATCCCCCTCAACCCATTCGATCAGAGTCTCTAAGGTTGTCTGCGGGAATGGCCCGTTCGGCTGCGTGTCACTCGTAGCGCAGTGCGCTGCTCCCGGAACTAGGAAGAGACGGTTCCATTCGTTCAATTTGGCTGAACTCTCGTTGAACGACATGTTCGCATACATCGTCTGTCGCACGGATTCGTGATAGTGTACCGAGGAACCAGCGGGGATACTCGGGTCCGACTCTCCGTGCACATGGATGATCTTGCCGCCTGCGGAGTGGAAGGGGGTGAGATCCGGCCAGGTAGTCTGTAGGACATCCTCGTAGCGCTTCCAGCCGAGCTCCATCCACTCGGCCAAGGTGTCGTAGGTGACATTCGCCAAGGTCGAGAGGTTGTCTGCGTCGCGGAGTTCCAGGAAGCGCGCCACCCACTCCCCACCGAAGGAGTTGATCTCCAGCTCCCATTCCCCGGTCTCGGAGTTGTACTGCGTGGCGGCATCGTCGAAGGTGGAAGAAATTTGGTACCAGATGTATGCACGACGGCCATCGAGAGTGTGAAGCCCCTCAAGCATCTTGCTGGCCGCAGCGGCGCCCAGCACAGACACGGTGCCATTCTGCGCCGGCGTTGAGGCGGTGATCGAGGCCCGCTTCTTCAGCGTTCGAGTTGTGATGGATGCGGGACAGGAATACGGCGCCCCGACGGTCGAGTTCATATCGAAATGCAGCTGGCACAAATCGGTGCGAGAGACCACGCCGTCAACCCGCCCGTCCAGGCCATCGCACGCGGCGATGGTCAGGTTGACGATTTTCTCCAGCTCACAGGGCGGAGGATAGTAGCCGATGGTCTGCTCCACCACGTCTGGGTAGAGGTGATTGACCTGCTGCTGGCCATACCGCATCGCAGGTGCCCCAATTACCAGCCCATCGAATTGCTCGGCATAGCGCTGGGCCTGACTCCAACCGTCACGGCCCCCTTCCGAGCAGCCTTGGTAATAGGCATAGATCTTGGAGTCCTGGACGACGTCATAGAAATGACGGCTGAAGGCCTTGCCCACCACGCTTAACTCGTGGATGGCCAGGTAGCCGAAAGAGTACAGTGCCTCGTAATTGATGGTACCGTTGGCTTTCAGAAAGACGGCGTCCACCTGCGTCTCGAAGCTCCCGAAGCCTCCGTCCGTCAGGCCCGTGGCGGCGCCGTACTGCACACCCCCGGGGAGATAGCTGCTTCCTTCCTTCTCACCCTCGTTGATGGCAAATCCACCACCCCCGGTCGTCAGCCAGCGGTGCTGAAATTTGTCGGGGGCGGGCATCCAGAGTTCAAGCTGGATGGGAGTCTCGCTGCCCGGACGCGTGTACGCAAGCGTCACGTTGCAGTAGTCGTAGGAAGCCGCCGGATAGAAGTAGAAGCCAGCGGTGGCAGCGTTGTAGACCGCGTGTGCAGTGACTGAAGACGGGTCGATCTTCAACCCCTCGATGTCTTCGCTCGCGAGCAGGTATGACTTCACATGGCTAGTCGTGCAAACGCTGGCCAGGCTGGCGGTCTCAGCCATGGCAGCCGTGGTGGCTGCAGCCAAAGCGCCAAGTTCTGGTTTCATGATCGCTTTGTCGGGAGGAAATGTGGCAAAGAGGGCGTAGAAGAATAGTCACGGGGCCCTTGAGGCTGTAGATCCTCGATGGGCCTGACTGAGATATGGACCTTGCTATGCAGCGAGGGCTTTCTATTTAACTTTCACGCAACTGTCATTGCCGCAGTAGATCTATCAACTGCCAACTTTGAGGTTCCGATAGATTTCAGTCCGATGCCGGTTCCGGAGGTGCGAAAGAATTAGGTTAAGCTCGGCAACTAAGCTGGTCCCTTTGGGTATATCTTCATCCGGGCCCACGCGGAGAAGCAGCAACGGTTCTCCACTAACCCAGATAGCACCCTTGAGGGTCACAGGGTGTCGGAAATCGGCCTCAGGTCCTATGTTCACCTCCGATTTTCACTTTAAACAGTGTTCGTCACGCCTTGGCTTTGGCTTGGCCTGTCTTGGCCCAAGGGATCAGGTTTCTTGGCGGGACCATTCCCGCGAGAATCGTTCTGAAGCGTTTCAGCAAGGTGAGTCAGGCTACTCAGGCCACCCGGGTACCATGCTTTTCAAATCGAAGAGTTCTGTTATCCACATGAGCATCAGGGATTGATGGTAGCTAGTAGAGCGTATCTACTGTTAGTCGATGATCCACCGATAAAGATAATCATCAGACGGGATTTATGAATATGTTCTAATCACTTTCACCTTGGGTCCAGGAAGTATTGCCAAACGGAGGGGATTTATTTTCCGCAAGGGTACTTGGCAATCGGAATGATTTACACGATGGGCTGAGCGATGAAAGATGGTAAAGATGTGGTAGTTCACATACCGCCATATTTCGGCATGATTGGCGCGAACTTCGGTAATCATATTCGAGGAATTGGTTTCCAGCGCGGGAATCGGCCATGGGGTCGAGAATCGTTCACGTCTTGTCTTTCACGGCGAGTCAGCGGGATGGGATGGAAACTGTCTGAGCTCTAAAATGCGGTCATCAAGAGCGTCCAGATTGATGAATTACTGCGATTGGACACTCAGGAGGGCATGTAGAACACTGGAGATGGCGGTGAATGACGGACGGCATTGGGGATCTTGGTGATGTCGGCAGAGATTGTTCAGGACCCGGTGCATAAGGCGTGCGGAGGAGAACGAAATTGCCGGAGAAGATTGCATAAGAGATTGGTCGGACTCCGCTCGCTTTGTCGGTGACAGCCATGCAATTCCGACACTAGGCTCATTCTGAGACTGAAATTGAAGATTCTCAATCACTGCGGCTCATGGCTGTGAACACCGTCTTCCACGTGCTGGCTTGGCCAAAATGTGAAGAAGAGCCTTTTTTGTGCTGGGCGAAACCAAGTACCGTTGGCTTTGCAAAAGACAACGGTCTGTTCATGGCACGCAGATCTGCAGGTACGCGTCTTTCTCGGACATATATCTGTTTCACTACCAGGACATGAATATTGTTCATGTCCTGGTGGTGGAGCTGACGGCCAGGTCTAGGACTCATCCTTATGGAGGAGAAGCTCGTCATCTTCGGTAATTGAAATTGAGGTTATCGTGACTGAAGACGAGCTATTTAGGCAATGAGACTCGATCGTTCTACGGATATCAATTCCATGAATCTGCCACCGACAGACCCGTTGTATTGAGCGTCGCTTCCTCTGCCGTCTCGAGGTTCATCACCCATCAAAACGGCGCATGAGGGGTTGTAAATGCTCCGCAGAGTGGTTCTCCATTGAGGTTGTATATTGACACCACTATCGGCTCCTCTTCTAGATCTCTTGGGCTTTGGGGACCAACAATCGGACAGTGTTTTCCGGAACGTGACTTGAGGGAAGTATAGTAGGTGTACTCGTTGAAGACGGGTGCGTGCACAATCGTTAACCTCGCCCTCTAATTATTCACACCAATTGTGACCATTATTCTGGATAGAGGCTGTTTGTGCAGCCTAGGGTTCGTTATGAAAGAGATATAGCAGTAGCTGGCAATGAAAAGGAAGGAGACATCGGAGTTGTTGCCAAGGCAGCGACCGGGGAAAACAAAAAAATAAAAACAAAAAAGAATGAGCCCAGCCCGGCTCGATCAGGCAACCTTACGATCTGGAGTCGTACGCGCTACCAATTGCGCCATAGGCCCATGTTGTGTGAAGATCTGGTCCTTACTTTGTCTCATGTCATTTGTCAAAATGTAAACTTTTGCTTTGGCACAGACAGTAGTTGATGGAAGCATCGTGCACATAAGTCTCTCCTTATACACAGTGAATGCAGAACAGGAATCGCCGCTTAGGCTTCAAGGACCTAAGAGTGCGGTGGGGCCTTTTCTTGGGAACATTAATGGCGTTGACTGGGTGTTTGCCATATTGGTAATCTGGAAGGTGTCGATATATATTTCCCCCCCGGTCTATGCTAGGAATGCAACACACAATCATTCCTTAACTAGATCTTAACGTTCCACAACAATTACATTCAACTACAAAACTCAGAGATGAGGCGAATAAAAATCTCCTCCGTTTCCCGTATACTCTGCACATCCACCCACTCCTCCTTTGCATGCAAGCCTTGGCCTGCCGGGCCGATGACAATAGTCGGCGTCCCAGCAGCGGCGAGAAGAGCGGCATCGCACCAAATAGCCATGCTCTCAATGGACGGAGAACTGCCGTACACGTCCCGAGCAATCGCTGCTGTCTGCTGGACCAGCGAATGCTCGACGGGTAGTTTGTAAGATGGACGAGAGAGAGTCAGTCGAGGTTCGTTGAAGCGGAAAGTGGGCCTGGCGTGGGCAATGGTGGCTAGGATGTGTTTCAGGTCCGACAAGATGGATTCATCACTTTGCACCGGAACGGTCCGAAACTCGATCGTCACGGTGCATTTGGCAGGATACGAAGACGGCTCTTCGCCGCCGTGGATCAAGCCGCAGTGCAAGGACGCTGGCCCGATCATCTCATCGACCGGCAGTCGCCGCTGGTATTCTTCGAGGGCCGTAAGAAACCAGCCAGCCTGCAGAATGGCGTCCACGCCCGAGGCCGGATCGGAGCCGTGAGCGGCAGTTCCCAGGATATCGACTTCAACCCACACGAAACCTTTGTGGGCCGTGATAAGGACGCGGTTGGTGGGCTCCGGGATCACCGCACCGTCGGCGCGCCAGCCAGCGGCAACCAGGTCTCGAGTACCCTGAGAGGCGTCTTCTTCGTCCGACACGGCCGCAAAAATGACATCCCCGCGGAGGGGAGTCTTCCGGGCCTTGGTAGCCGCAAGGGCTGCCAATTCGGCGGCGAGCCCGGACTTCATGTCCAATGCACCTCGACCAAAGATCACAGGGCTTCCGTCCTTCTCGCCGATATGACCGGAAAGAGGCTCGCGTTCGTAGCTGGTCAGACTCACGGTGTCAATATGACCGTTGAGCATTAGAGACTTTCCGCCGCCAGATCCTCGAATCACACCCACAATGGATGGACGGCCGGAAACCGTTTCAATCCGATGGGTCTCGATACCCCGATGCTGGAGCCATGCAGTGAGGTAATCCGCGATCTGTGTCTCTCCAGCTCCTGGTGTGGCTGATAAGGTCACGTTCGACGAGTCGATTCGGGTCAGGATTTGAGTTAGCGTCACCGAGTCTTCGGGCGTAACATCAAAAGAGTCCGTCATTTTGGGCGATATGGAAGGTAATTTTTGATATTCTGCTTGAAAAAGGGCGATGGCGCTGGCTTTTCGTGATTTTATAATGTGAAAGCGCGCCTTCCATCAACAAGCTGGGGCGGCGTGGGAGAATAACCCTAGCCTCGGGTGGCGCCAAGGGAAGATCCACTCCGTCCCACTTGATCCATTCTAACCAAGAGTATATACTCCGTAGTCTATCCTATATTGATGGGGAACATATCCAAGGTCGGTATGCGTTACTACCGAACGCGGACTCCATTACGGCTGGTTTCAGAACCAGACCGTGTTGGAATACTCCCTCAAGGCGGTTGATGCCGCCATCGAGTTCATCCAGACCTCCGGATCTCCGCAATCATACAGCTTGGCACCGATCAATGAGCCTCTCGATGTCGAGAACCCGGCTCTGTTCGGCACGCCGGACTGTCTCACCGACAGCGGTGCTGCGTGGGTGGCAAAGTATATCCTTCAAGTTTTGCAGAGAGTACAGGCCGTCAACGCGCAGATACCCGTCATGTTCCAAGGCAGCTTCAAGGGCGAGAGCTACTGGTCGTCAAGTTCCCTGTGGGCGCGAACCTGGTCTTTGACGTGCATAACTATTACTTTGCAGGCCGCGGGGCGAGCGCCGCCAATTTGACCATGTTCATCTGCCAGGACGCGGTGTCCGCGGCCGGGGCCTGCAAGTTTCCGGTATTCGTGGGCGAGTGATCCATCCAGGCCGAGCTCGACAGTACCTTTGCATGCCGTGAGAGAATCTTGCAGACGGAGCTTTAGGCGTGGAGCAAATATACTCGGGGAAGCGCGTACTGGACCGCCAAGTTTTCCGGGAACGCGATTGTCAGTGGTCAGGGCACACAGGCAGACTATTGGAACTATGAGACTTTGGTAGGCTTGGGATACACTGGCTCGACATCTGCGGCAGTTTAATATTAAGTCCAGGAGATGTGGATGATGCCAATGTCGAGGGGATGCTTGATCAAGTAAGCTATACAGTCTGGGTTGGTTGAAAGGAAGTAGATTCGTGGCATAAATTCATCACCAGTTAAGGCAGTGTGCTTGTGCGGATGACTCAGCATTGTATTTTTCTGCACCAAGTATACCTGATGCAGCAGATGAAAGTTCCTCTGCGAGATTTGAGTCCATGTATTCATGTTTGTTGGCGCGCTCAGATTAGCCATGGGCATAATGACGAGTAGTATTCTAAGGTGGTCCTTAGTCGATAAGTGTAACTAATGCCACTACTACAGCCGAGTGCGTCTCTGCACAATCCAGTCCGTGCTTGACTTCATGCAAGGACTCAAATTTGTTGCAGCGTACACTGTGAGCTGCTTGTACCAGCCATGAGTCCTCAACCCCTCGGGTTTCTCCGCAAAGTTGGGATTAAAATCATGGGTCACTGAATAAACCTATTTTTCGGTTGCCTGAAATTTCGGTGCCCAGATCGACAAGCTGTGGTTCAACGCCACCGACCCTCCATACCGTGGCTCAAGGGGCTGTTGCACTGCGACGGAAAGCCACATCTCCACTTCCATTCCACAAAGCGACTTAAGCAGCAGAAGAAGCTTCACGACCACACCTGGGTGACATGTGGGAGGTCCTCTCAATCTAGACGGCCAAAACATTCTTTGGAAGCCCAAGACGCAACCTCCCCCTGTCAGTCCATTTGGACCCAATCTGAAGATCGCGCCTTGAGACCCTTCATGCAGCTTCGCCCAGGTGGGTAGCACGCAGGGCTATGAATAACATCATGGTGCAGTTCAACACAGGCGACGCTGACTCGATCGTAAGCCACTCGATTATAAAACGGTTCACTCCTGCTAGGCCGCAGCCTTCCCCCCTCGGTCTTCCTCAACTCAACTCAACTCGACTTCACGATGAAATATTCCATCGCTACTCTTGTGTCAGTGCTCGCCGCGGGCGCAGCAGCCCTCCCCTTCCCCTCCGCGTATACTCTTGTCGCTGATGGGGGCTGGACCGTGGTAACCAATGGGAGTATGTTGAATTTTACGCTCCCCAAATCATCTAGTAATTCTCTAACATGACTCCATCCCAGCCCACGCCTTTATCGGAACCGGCGACATCAATAACTACCCGATCCTCATCCGTAAGCCCCAACTCACTCCCTACAAGCCCCATCATCCCCCGCAGCATCCATTAACCACACCCGCGGACACAGTGAAAGGAGGCAACAACAACGGCAAAATCACAGGCACAGCGCAGCACAGAGCATCAGGCGGTGTGCAACATCTCTACGTCATGCAGAGTACAGACGCTCCAGTGACGCTGACGAGCCCCGACTCCGACGCGCCCACTGGTGCGGTCGTGTCTGGGTTCGGCATCGACGACCAGAACTATCTGACGGTCAACGGGAAGAGCTCCTTCGGGGTGGATCCCAACTCCGGGCAGATCAAGGAGATCTATCATCTGGCTGGCTCGGGGTCGCAGTACCAGCCCATCTCGTTGTGGGTGAAGGAATGCAAGGGGTGTTGATGGTGTTACATTAGGAGGGAGTGTCGATGCTTGGCGTGGCGGTGTGCGTTGTGAAATGTGTATATCTAGTAGTATCTGGAGTGCTTAGCATGGAATGGAGGGAGATTGCACGATAGGGCTTGGACAATAGTACGGGCTATGTTACATCCTCGTTGACCTAAGGTATTTAGCTCGTGCAGCGGGCGTCTGTTGTTTTGGTTTGGATGCTGGTGGATTCTTGTGGCAATGTTTATACAACATGCCCATGTAAGAGCAAATGGGAGTAAGGAGAGAAGAGGCAGTTCAAAGCAACAGACAAAGCATAGCAAACGACAGTTGATTATATACGAAGCTCATGATACGGTAGACAGGTTGATGCCTTAACTAATGGGCACCGAGGCCAACAAATTGACCTTGTAATCGGTAGCGAGAGTCTCGTGACTCTCGTCTTCACCGCCTCCCTCCACACCGTTCAAGCCACTGATTTCCCCCACAGCGTTGATTCCATTAACCATCTGCTTCACAATGCCGTCGACGAGTCCATTCGTCTGATCATTACCCGGCTCAGGCAACGGTATCACAGCTTGTTGCGATGCGCGCTGCTCCGCCGAAGGCAGCGGGGTGTTGACATCCTGACGCGCGATCGCGTCCACCTTGGCGCACAGCTTCTTCAGTGTCTCCTGCGCGAACGACTGCGACATGGCGTGAGTCGAGAAGATCATCTCGATCCGCACCTGCGAGCCGACTGGAGTGGCCAGAATCGACAGGTCGCAGGCATCGGGAGATGGGCAGATGAACCCTGGCGTACATTTCAGAGTTTCCTCCATCGAGACCGGCTGAGTGGGATCCTCTTCCGCGCCAAACTCCTGGTACTGGAAGACGGAACTGAATCGAGTCGCGGTCGGCCAATCAGTACACCTGTCAATAATGTTCTGGAAGCCCAGGGATTCGTGGGGAATGGTATCGGTCTGCTGTTGTTGGAGCATCTGCAGCAGCTCGAGCACCGTGCGCACGGCCTTCATGTCCGCCCGAACAGGGACAATGTTCAGGCAAGGACCCATGACGGACTCGACGTTGTCCAGAGCCAGGTTGCGACCCGACACCATGTGGCCATAGACCACGTCAGATGTAGCTGCCATCTCGGCCAGGACGAGTGCCCAGGCCGCTTTAATCACGGTGGCGGCCGTGATCCCGTGATCCTTGTATGCAACCAACGGGACCATCTCGACGATCATCATGTTGAGCACGTTGGTAACGGAAGGCTTGGGGTGCGACACCACCGCTGTCATGGAGGATCCAGCCAGCATCTGTCTGTAGAATGACTCGGCACCTTCGTTGGCGAGTAACTGCATGCGCACGAAATTGGCGAACTGAGGTCTTTTCGCGAGAGATTCGCCCCTGTAGGCGTTACGGAGGTCCTGCATAAGCAGTGGCATTGAGGAGCCGTCATACTGCCCATGGGAAATTCTCATAATGAGACGGTGTTTGATCGCTCCGTTCTTGATCACCATGAACCGGACGATGGGCTCGCCAAGACGCGGCGGGCGTGCGAGGTCGTGCCGCACCAGCGCCTCGGACGGGTCCTGCTCATCCTGGATATGGAATGTGTATTCTGGAGTGACTGATCGGAGAACGACCTGCAAGAGTTGAGAACCGGTCTTGACAAAGACCGTCCGCAATATCGCGTGGTGCTTTATTAGTTCTTCGCAGGCTGTCTGCAGTCGCCTCAGGTCAATTGGTCCGCTGAAGTCAAATACCAAATAATTATTCCAGCCGCGCGTCCTGTTGAGTCCACCGCCAATGGCAAGCGACTGGAAGTTTGTGACCTCCAGCACATCTTCGATGTTCATGGCTGGGGTATCGACTTGCGGCAACACAATTTCATGCAAGAGTTGGTCTCTTTTAAAGGACTTGAGCGTGGAGAAGGCCTCGAATGTCTGGGGACGCTGCTGATGCGACAGCGTCTCGGCCACGGCACTCATTGCCTCCAAGGTCGGGTGCTGGAACACATTGGCAGTTGAAAGGGGGATTCCCTGCGCACGAGCAGCGGATGCCAACCGCATAGCAGTGATTGAATCACCGCCTAGTCGGAGGAAGTTGTCGTTGAGGCTGATCTGCGCTGCAGATGTTTTGAGAACCTCAGCCCAGAGTTGCTGCAACGCACACTGCATCTCCGTAGTCGGAGGGCGCGCCTCTTCGGTCGAGCCGGTGTATTCTGCCATCTGCCTTTGGGTCATCTCACTACCGCATCGAATCAAGGTCTTGCGGTCGGCCTTGCCGGATGGTAATTTGGGAACGTGGTTCACGGGAAGATAGGCACTAGGAATCATGTGCATTGGCAGGAACTCCGCTAGTCGGTCCTCGAGCCCAGAGATTGCTGTCATGTGGCGGTCGCTCTGTGGAGGAACGATGGTGGTAGTAGAAGAAACTTCCTCGGTAGGAACAGGCAAGAATGCCACGAGACGAGGCTGGCCGGGAGCGTCCTTTGGCGACAGAATGTCAACGATGGCATCTGGCTTATTCGGTAGGCTCTGCTTGATCCGGTACTCGATTTCTCCCAGCTCGATTCGCTGACCGCGGAGCTTGACCTGGGTGTCCTTCCGGCGCTGGAAGCTCAGTGTACCGTCAGGGTTGTAGCGTACCAGATCACCTGTCTTGTACACCACGGGCGGTCTTGTGGTATCTTCTTTGTTGAGCCACCGAGGGTTCTCCACGAACGCAGCTTGTGTCTTCGCAGGCTCCGCGAGATATCCCCGGCCGACATTCCAACCTTCCATCACGAGCTCTCCAACGCTACCGACCGGCACCAGCCGGTGGTGGTTGTGGGGCATGACGACCCAGGTGGCACCAGAGCATGCTCGGCCGATGTTCCTTGGGCTTGACTCGCTAGTGATATTAAAATTGCTCGTACTGCAGACGCAGCACTCACTGGGACCGTACGCGTTGACCAGCCGAAGTCTGTGGGCCCACGTCTCGATATGAGATTGAGACATGGCCTCGCCAGCCAGAATCAGAACTTTCAGCGTCGGCACATCATCGGGATTGATGAGGTTCACAAAGGATGGGGTAAGCACAGCCCAATTACAGTTGGTCTCGCGGATTGCTTCGGTCACGTCGCGCTTGCGCTGTTCCTCCGACGCTACGCACACGCAGCCGCCGACAATCAGCGTGGTCAGGATTTCGACCAAGCTCGCGTCGAAAGTGAAAGAAGCAAACTGCAGAGAGCGAGTGCCACCATGCATCAACATCGACGATGCATGGGTGGTGGACGCAGAGGCGTAGGCGCCGTGCTGGATCACTGTACCCTTCGGCTCTCCCGTACTTCCAGAAGTGAAGATGACATAGGCCGAGTTCTCAGGGCTGACACTCGTAGCAGGAAGAACCCCCGTCGTTGGCTCTTCTGGCGTGTCGGCGGACAACACCACCACATTATAATCAGGACCGAAGGACAAACACAACTCCTCTTGTTCGGGCGAGCAAACGATAGTCATCGCCTTCAGCTTGGTGACCATAAGCTGAATACGGCTCTTTGGCTGGGCTGGATCGATGTTCAGGAAGGCACCGCCGGCCCGCATGACACCCAGCATAGCTGCCACAGGCCACCGACTTTTCTCGAAACAGCAAGGGACGAAATCCTCGGGCTGAACTTTGAGCTCAGCAAGGCGATGCGCCAGGCGAGCAGAATGCTTGTCGAGATCCGCGAACGTGAAGGATCCATCCCAAGAGCACACAGCCTCTTTGCTAGGGTGCTCTGCAATACGCTCTTCAATCAGCTGGTGGATGGTCTTATGGACCGGAGCCGGGATGTCTTGGTTCCATTGACGGATGCTCTCCTCATCCTTAGCACTGATGAAGTTGAGATCGTCCAATTTGGTCTCTGCGGCGGAGGAGCAGAATTGTTGGAGCAGATGTTTCAGCTGGCTAAGGATGCGCTGAACGTACTCAGCTGTGATGAGGCTGGAGTCAAAGTGGGCGGCACACTTCACTCCTTGCGCCTGCAGAGTACATTCCAGAGTGAGCGCGTATGTTCCGAAGTTGGCGTCCGCGTCAGATACAGCTGTCAAATCCGGCTCCTCAACCACAGATGACTTTTCCTTGGCGGGCTGGACAACAAGCAAGGTCTGGAAGTCGCAGGCACTGGCCGCATCAGCGCTCACCCTGCCGATGTTTTGCAGTCCGATTTGCTCAAACGCGATCATCTTAGCCGCCTCGGCCTGCAGGCTGCCAATGAATTCCCCTACAGTGGTGCTAGCATCCTGGGGAACTTTGACTCGTACTGGCACGGCGGCGATGCCTGGACCTACTAGACGATTGATGCCCGGCACAGGAGCGTTGCGACCGGAAACGATATTCCCGAATACCACATCTTCGGATTCGGAATGGGATCCGATCAGAATTCCCCAGGCTGCACGGATCATAGATGCCATTGTGATGCCCGGTAGGTTATCGGTGCGCGCGAGCGCCATCTCGTAAATTGCCGTGGAGTCTGACACGGGTTGTTTCGCGGTGGACACTGTGCAGGGGAACTCGTTCCGCATTGCACCGGCGAGGTATTGCTGCCAGAAGTCCTTGGAAGCGTTGTCGTCGGTATTAACCACATGGTTCATGAATGCCTTGAAAGTTGCATCTCGGGCCGGCTGCTGGCCCTTGTATGCCTTGTCGATACGCTCGAAGACAAGATCGAGTGTCCACGCGTCATAGACAGCGTGGTGCGCAGTCCATACGAAGGTCCATCCGTGCTCGCCGGGAGCAAGCCCGTAGCGAGTCAAAGCATCTCCTGCTCCCATCGGTTGCTTCTTGTCGTCAGCCAAGTACTCTTCGAGGCTTTCACCTGTGCGCCATGCAATGGTCTCTTGAATGACAGCCTGCAACGACACTGACTGCTGGCGGTAGACGATATGCGTCCGAAGAATGGGGTGTGCGGTGACTACGTCCTGGCATGCTCTCTTGAACCGTTCCAGGTCGATGTTTGGACCAAGGGCAAGAGTGTGCTGGGCCATGTACACTCCATTCCGGCTGTCAGAGAGCGCCATGAGACCTTCCTGCATAGCAGTACAAGGGTACAGGTCCTCGATCGCGGACTTTTCAACGCGGCACTGCTCGGCTGCAGCATCAAGCACGCTGTCGAGGTCTTCACTCAAGTCAAGCAGAGAGAAGGGAATGTCTTCAAATGGCTTAATGCTGTCGAGAACAGTAGAAGCCTGCGCCATGTCGTCCAGAGACGGATGTGTGAAGACATCCGCCACACTTAGTCCGATATTCTCGCTTCCGCAGAGGTTCACGAGTTTTATGGCGTCAATGGAGTTACCACCAAGCTGCAGGAAGTCATCATCTGCTGAGATCGATTGCTCCTCCACTTGCAAGACTCCGGCCCAGACCTTGCGAAGCGCTATGCCAGTTGCAGTCGCAGGCTCTCGGTGCTCCTTCTTAGTGGCACCCGTCAACTGGGCAACGGTCAACTGTGAGGCGAAATCACTAATCGCCTTGCGATTGGTCTTGCCGGATGGCGACAAAGGCATGTGGTTCAGTTTGACAAGCGTCGAGGGAACCATATAGGTGGGCACAGCAGCGGAAAGCTTGGTCTTCCAGCCTTGCGTCAAGGCCTCGAGATCCTCAACCGATGCCGAGTCAGGGGTGTGGAAGTTCCCTTCGAAGCCCTTCCTAAGCGCCACGAAAGCCGCAAGCATCGGTCGGTCCGTCTGATCAACTGGCTTTACAAGGCCGACCACCGCCTCAGTACCACGCGGCAGTGCTTGACGCAGATGGAATTCTACTTCTTCCAGTTCAATGCGCTGGCCGCGCAGTTTCACCTGCATGTCTTTGCGACCGACCAGATTGATTTGGCCATTGCTTCCCAGCCGCACCAAGTCGCCGGTCTTGTATGCCCGAGCGGACGACGGAGCCCCGCGGATCGCCTTCAGCCACGGTGTGTCCGAAATGAAGACAGCGGCCGTCTTGTCGGGTTGATGTATGTATTCCCGAGCCAAGACGGGGCCTTCAACCACCAGCTCACCAGTTGCACCGATAGGAGCCAGCCGGTCATGGTCGTTGATGTCTGCCACCCAGGCAGCGACACCTGTGCCCCGACCGATAGTTGATCGTTCGACAGATCCCGACAAATCCCCCGTGACGCAGACGGAAGCCTCGCTTGCACCGTACATGTTGAGCATCCGCACATGACTGCGCCACGTATCGAGGTTATCCTGCTGAACTGGCTCACCGGCCAGGAGCAGCGTTTTGAGATCTGGAACGTCTTCTGGCTTGATAGATCGAAGGAAAGAGGGTGTGGTGCAGAACCAGTTGGCTCTGAGGTCACGCAGCGCTCCCGTTGTCCGGCCTAGTCTGTCCTCCTTCGAAGGGACGCAGACGCAACCACCTTTGATCAACGGAGTGAACAGCTCGAAGGTGTTGACGATGAAGGTATAAGCTGCGAATTGGAACGTGCGGGTGTCGCTATTGATGTTCATCCTGGCACTATGCTCGCTGGCACTGGAACACACCGCGCGGTGTTCGTGCACGATACCCTTGGGCTTTCCGGTACTACCGGACGTGAAAATGGCGAAGACCGCATCACGGGGCCTGGCCCGCTTGGGCAGGTCGGGGCAGGGTGGGAGGCTGTGGATGAAGTCCGCGTCCACCGCAACGACTTGCGACACATGCGGCGACACCATATCCACATACCCTGGCGTCGTGAGCGCCAACTGCGCTTCTACTTCGTCTATGATCGTGCTCAGTCGATCTATCGGCTGGGCAGGATCGATGCAAACGAATGCTCCTCCTGCCTTGAGCACACCCAGCATGGAGACTACGGCCCAGAGGGACTTGTCGAAACAGACGGGCACGAATACCTCGGGTCCGACCTTTTGCGCGATGAGGAAGTTGCCCAGTCGCGAGGTGTAATCTACCAGTTCCGAGTACGATACGGACCCATCCCAGCATTCCAGCGCCGTCCGATCTGGGTATAGCTTCGCGGCTTCGTCGATCTGTTCATGCAGACAGGCCTCGATGGTCGAGGGCACAGTCGCATTCAGCTCCTGGAATCGCGTCCACGAGGATGGGCCGAAGAGATCTACCTCTCCAACCGTGGTATGGGGTTCGTCTCGGATCGCGTCTGTCGCTTGCGCGATCGCCTCGCCGACTGCAGCCGCGATGCTGTCGCCGATGGCGTGAGCGGCATAATGGAGGGTCACTTGAAGCTCTTCTGTCGAATCGGTGACGGAAAGGATGAGGGAGAACTGACTTGTGAGTAGGTATGCTTGAGCTGATTTGCGAGTTCGACTTACATGAGAGGTATCGAGCTCGGAGAGGTGTAGTTGATCGGTATGCGACGACTTCCAGACCAGGGTGTTGAACGACTTGCTCAAGGCGGCCCAGTCCTGGAAATTCGAGACGGTCGATACCTCCTCGGATGGCTGTTGAACAGATGATTGTAATTGCTCCAAAGCAGTGTCGACAGGAATTTCACCATGGCACACCGCAAACCACAGGGCATCGGCGACCGTGCTGTCCGCCAACCCGAAAGAGAGCACGTCGCTCCCCGTGTAATATCGTAATACGATCGTCCATGCCTCTAGCACGGTCTCGGTCGATGATGCGCCCGCGCGCACTGCGATGGATTTGAAGCTCGGTGCATTGCGCTGGAGATTCTCGGTAGGAAAATGGCAGAGCGCTGCGTCAAAGGCACCAGGCACGATCTGCAACATGATTGCGCGACAATCCACGGAAGTAATAACAAAGAAGAACCGGAGGTATTAAGCGATTCGCGATCGCTGATTACATATAGCTAAGAGGTCTGGAAAAGCGATGGATGAGGCGTTTGAGCTGTTGCGTTTGAGCAGGATAGGTTTGAGACAGCAACTGCTCTCGAGAACTTGGAGATGAGAAAAATAGTTGGCCCCAACTTCGCAGCTCCACGACAGCTTCATTTCTTGCGACTAATTACCTTATCATAAGGTGAGTGATAAATGATAATAAAGACTGCTTTTTCCCCAATTCGGCTGGGATTCCGACTTGACTTACCAAGTGTACCTGAGGGTCCATCTCCATTGGTTTGATGCAGTCCTCCTTTGACCCATTGTACTACTTAGTAAACTCGAGCTGAGCTGACCGACTCTGATTCAGGAGCAACACTGTTCCGTCCCCGCCAGAGCATTCAATGGGATGGTGGGTGGATGCAAGTGGCAAGACGTGTCAGGGCTGTAATGACTGGTAAAGGCAGCTGGCAGCCATTGTTCTGGTACGGTCATGACAGTCACTGTAAGCGATTAGATAAAGTTATCGACCCGCAGTGGAGTCTAAACCCCTTAGCGTCATCTACGTCATGGGTTAATGCACCCCTGATCGATTCTTCTGCTTCCTTGGCGAGTCTCGACAGCAGCAGGAGAGCTTGGACTTTCTTTGTTGAGCTTCCTCGATTTCCAACAGCGTCGCATAGATTACTACGAATCGAGCAGCGTTCTGCATGCACGCTAAAGATTTGCCGAAACATCGGCATTTGCTTAGGGTGACGACGCCATTGACACCTTCAGAATGGTAGAGTTTTATCCGAGTCTGTGACTGTTCTTCAGCAGCTTGATTGTTGCTCCTTGTTTGACAGCTCTCAAGCCCAAAAAACAATGCAGACGGACAGCCTGATAGCAGCTGGCAGGTGGCGGCAGAGACTGATTGACACACGGCATGGGAGAAATCCGGCACTAAATCGGGAATGACCCGCCAGTTCGGAACCAGATTGAAAGTGCTGTGCTTTTCCCCGATCCGGAAGTTGATTTTCCTAGGTCGGCTTTGAACAACTCCACTTCCACTCTGCCTTTCCGATCTCTTCCGTTCCGCCAAACTCTTCATCAATATAATTTTCTGGTGTACTATTCTGGAATTTTTGCTTCCAGTCCTCGAAGACGATCTTCCGGACATCATATCCTTCATATTAAATCATCCATGGGTTGGCCATGCGCTTCGAGTAGTAGCCGTAGCTCGGGACGGGCATCCTTTCTCTGGTAAAATTCGGTTCATAAATACTCCAGAAAGGTTTTCTAGACTACATTGCCAGGCACCCGAGATTGTCAATCCATAGGAATTCAACAGATGCCAAGCGCAGATGGAGTCCGTAGAGATGATCCGTATACACGACCAGAATAAGTAGTAAAGCCTGCTGATATCCGACGTGGCAGGTACTGTGTTTTACCCCCTGTCACCCCTTTGATTCTCGTCGCACCTCTATCATCATGCAGGACACTGAGAGTGTGTTGGTGCAAACCAATATCGATCGACGGTCATGCCGTCGTGTCAAGTCGATGCAAGTCCTCGTTCTGGGCCTCTGCCGCACGGGAACCCTCTGTAAGCTGGCCCTCTCCCTCCCTCTACGCGAGGCTAAGCACATCTCGCGAGTCTCAGCTACTACAACAGCCACCGCGCAATAATCTTGGTGCTGACAGAACACAGCAACATGGCTAGCGCTGCAGGAGCTCGGGTACGACACCTACCACATGACCTCGATCATGCAAAATCCCAAGGACGCGGCAATGTGGACAGAGGCCTTCCAGGGCAAATACCACGGCGGCAAGCCCTTCACACGCGCCGACTGGGACCAGCTGCTCGGCCACGTCGAGGCCGTGACCGACTTCCCTGCCGCGGTCTTCGTGGAGGAGCTGGTCGCCGCCTACCCAGAGGCCAAGGTGGTGTTGACCCTGCGCGACGTCGACGCCTGGTACCAGTCCATGCAGCATACCATCATGGCGCAGACCTACAGCCCTCTGGCCACGCTGCTGGGCTGGATCGACCCGGAGAAATTCGGGGCGGGCAACCGCATGTGTCGCATCGGCTTCGACGCCATGTTCCGGGGCGACTTCACGCAGAACGGCAAGCAGGCGTTCCGCGACCACTACGACCTCGTCCGCCGCGTGGTGCCGGACGAGCGCCTGCTGGAGTGGAATCCGGCTGAGGGCTGGGAGCCTCTGTGTGAATTTCTAGGCAAGCCCGTGCCGGCGACGCCGTTCCCGCGCGCCAACGAGAAGGCCATCTTCCAGAAGAAGTCTGCCACCGTCGTGCGGAGCGCTTTTGCGCGCTTCTTCAGAAGGACGGCGTGCTACGGTCTAGGGATTGCGGTCGCATACTTGGCTGCTCGTCATGGCCGTCAGGCCTTGTTGCGCCAATAGATGGTATTCTCTTGATAATTCTGGCGCATGGTAATTTTTTCGTGGGTTGTTTGCATTTCGTTGTGTATATTGTCTTTTGGAACGAGCTTTGTTAAGGGTCTTTTTGTTTGTACATAAATTTGTATAGATATGTACTATGTTTTGTGCTTCTCGACTGGTTACCGATCGATTTGCCGACACGTCTGGACCACTGGTGGGGGGACTGTGTGGTTGGGAAGATTGGCACTCTTCGATAAAAGATAATCGAAAACGGGAAAACCAAAATACATGTCAAGAGAGAAGAGATGTTATGACAAGTAGGGGAATTAACCGATGATCTCGGAGATTATTGCACGTCGTTTTTGCGTCAGTTGCGTTGTCTCACGATTTGTTCACGTTTTCCTCACGCAGTTCCGTCCATGCCAACCTCAACGGGAATATGCATGAGACCTGGGATATCACCTACGGAGATATCCAGATACGGTTGTTGTGCTTATCCAGCTCGGACAGCTTGCTTGCCTCCTTAGGCATGGACAATGGACACAGGGATTTTCAGTCTCCACCGAACAGGAGGTCTTCCACCCTGAGACCCTGTTTGAACAAGGAAACATGGTTATGCTCACCCTGATCCGATCTACTCCACTTACTGTATCTAGGGAAGATCTCCTGCGGGTAGAGATCCAGTGATCATCATTAGAGTGGATAGGTTCGTACCGCGAGGGTGGAGGCTCCTGAGTCATTGCCACCGTAGGTACGGGACGCTCTTGCGCGCAATTGCGATTGAAGTAATGCCGGTTGGGATGAATTACGGCTTATTAGTATAATGTACACTGGTGAATATATCAGTGAGCTGTAAATTTATCTAAGTGAAGGAGAGAAAGCAGATGAAAACATTCCTTGATATGACAGAAGGATGAAACCGGCTCGTGGTGGTGGGTCTGGTGGATGATGTCAGGGTCCCGCCGCGTGTTGCCCTAACTTTCCAACAGTCTTCCACAGAGTCTATTCCACCAAACCATGGAAACCTGCGCGGCAGCTCAGGGGTATTTCTTCCAAGCATGTTTGGGATCTAAGATTCTGGATGTATTTTTCCCAAAGTCGTTCCCGCATCTTGATCCAGGTCATCGCGCTAAATCCTGTCGATCGATCCGCTGATCGTCCGTACTGAAAGACTAAAAGATGGAGCCGGGAGGAAAACTCACCCAGCGGCAAACCGGTTCGTACTGCACGAGTCCCAGTTGCGATCTGCTCCCGTGCTCCATGCCCTAGTGCTCCTTGGTGTCCTGCTCTTTCTCCTTCCATTCCGTCACTGTCACTGCTTCTTTCTTCTGACCTCGTTCTCACACCCTCTTTCTCACTCTCTTTGCCTCATCGCCTGCCCCTCTTTCCTATCTCCCTCTCTAATTTGTTGTTTCCAACACTTCAACTGGAACACTTGAGCTCCATTCCCACTTGTACTCTCTTTCTCGGTTTCACTTATTCACGATTTTCGATTCATTATCCATCACTATGCGCTTCGCTCTGTGGTCCGCTGCCTTCTTCGCCGGCTGCATGGCTGCTCCCATCCTTCCGACGCACCCGCTCATTGTCCGAAGAGAATTGACTGAGGTAAGGATCGCTGGACGGTGAGAGTCTGGGACTGGATGGGTCTTGTAACTAACCTGTGCTCATCATTACTGTATAGAATGGTGAAGTGGTAAGTCGAACTTGGTCTTTCGGCGTGGTTTCGAGGAGCTGACATGTCGCGCAGGATGTATGTATCTGACCCCAGTGGGTATGCAAAGCCTTTGATTGCGCGTGCTGACGATAATGTGATTCGTCTTTTCGAAGCCTGTAAGTCCACCTTCCACTTTGGGGAATTCCTGATGCTAATGTCTGCTTAGGTCGTATGTTCTTCTTGGCCTTGTATAGCTATGGTGACATGCAGTGATTAAAACTGACGGCTGGTATAGAATGTAAGTATCTGACTGGCAATGATGCTGATGGATCTTCTAACCTTTGTCTAGGATGTATGCTTATCGTATCCTGTATCTGGGGTATGAGTTACTGACCTGCACAGGGCGTGAGTACTCTTATCTCAACTTGATCTGAGATCCGGCAGCTGATCTTGGTATGTGCTGGATTGTAGACAGTAAGTTTGATCTGCTATTGCTCTTGGGTTGACGTGACTGACTCCAGCAGGTGGTATGTCCCCATTTCCCAATCTAGACTGACTTCCACTGACGTGGACCTCTTCTTGCTGCCAGAACGTGAGTTCACCCAGTCCGTCCAGACTTATGCCATGCTGATTTCCTTAGAACGTGAGTTTCCGATCTTCCAACTCGATTGGCTAATTGAAACCATCATCTGATACGGTATACAGAATGTAAGTTGGCTTTTGTTGCAGTGTTGGACCCCGCTAATCATGTACAGGTCGTGAGTACTCCTCTTCGTAACGAACGGCTGACTTCTGCATTATCCTCATCACTAATCACAAATTCTTCAGAGCGTAAGTTCTCTCTCCGAGAATACAGCCACATTCTAACATCTGGCAGCTTGTGAGTTCCGCACCGTGATTGATGAGGTTCGACTATTGTAGATGCTGACTCCCAGCCCCTCGTGGTAAACAGCTGGTAAGTCTAGACCGATCATGAGACAGACCCATGCTAACAAGCAACAGAGCGTGAGTCCCAACTTACCCTGACACCCTGCACGACTAATGCTGAGTCACCTGTCTTACCAAACATAGTTTGTGCGTATCCCACCGACGACATTGAGATCCAAACTAACCCAGTCCAGTGTGTAGGATAACCCCACCAGCAAACCTCCGGAACAGTATTAACGCCTGCTTCCACCACCAGAAAGAAAAGGTTAGCCCATTGCTTCCGATCTGTGCCCATCTGCAACAATCCCCCCGCTAACCGATCAGCGCGAAAACGACGAACCGTTGACCTCCGATGGCGATGTGGACCCTGTCAACGACGGCGAGGTCAACAACAACATCTCGCTGATCCGGCTCTGCTAGACGATCAGATCCGGCCGAGAGTTCGAGTCCCGACGGGTTGAAGCCCGGTGGACCCAGGCGGCTGGGACCGAGTTTCCTCCCCTTCCACCCTCCCTCAGCCACCACAGGCTGGGGATCGCTCGGAGGAAGTAGGGCATTGATGGCTGGGTAGCGCTTGCCGAGAAGGACTTGCCGAGCCATGAGTTGCTGTGGTGGGATTTTATTGTACCTAATCGTCCGTCCCTCGTTGGACCATGCATGCCATACATCGTCCCGTCTCCATCCACAATGATCGTAGATCTACCTTTGAAGTCCACCTAGGAGTTGCATTTCTTGTATGGGCTAGTCTATGACGCATGCCATTGTTCAGTCCTGTTTGGTGGCTGGAGCACAGCGTTCATGATGCTATAAAGGCCCTGGTTGCTCGACATTGTCTCGTTGTCTTTGTGTGATATTAAAGCTCGTTCTGAGATAACGTGAATATTGCTTTCGCCAGCAGGCACCATATTGCATCTGTATCAGTCTCAGTGTGGCCGACATAGAATCTCAGCATGGAACTCACTGGCACAGGTACTGGGCTCGACTTCGTATCCAATTCAGTCAAATAGGAGTATGGTTACGACATCAGGTGGTTGCATCCGGAAGTTGTTGGGAGTGAGTTATCGTGATGGTGGCCTACTTCCTGTCAAGTGAGAGTATATACGGGCAGCCACCGCCAACCACGATTACGCTGACTATGAACTTGGTGAAATACTTGCAGGGAATTATTATTCATGGTCCGAAAATTCTCATTATATATTAATATCAATAGATAAGAACACCATGCGCCAAGCAAGCAAAAATCATATACATTTACTGCTTTCCAGCAGTCACCCGAGCCCGACGCTCACGCACGGCATCCGCCAACGAGCGCAATGAAGTTTCGGTGGTCTCCCAATCGATGCAAGCATCCGTAATGCTAACCCCCTTTTCGCAGCCCTCCAGGCGTGCAGAAGGCTTCTGGTTTCCCTCGCGGATGTTGGACTCAACCATGACACCGATGATGCCTCTCTCGCCCTCACGGAGCTGCTCCTCAATGGTGTGCAGGACCTTGGGCTGGTTGCGATGATCCTTTTGGGAGTTACCTGGGCGTTGGAGTTAGCCAGGGTTATACAAACCTCTCAGAGATACAGGGAGACTAGCGACAAGCTTACCATGGGAACAATCGACCATCACAACCTGTCTCTCGCCCTTCTTCCCCAACATCTCCTTGGTCGCCTTGACACTCTCGGCATCATAGTTGGTCCCGCGACTCCCGCCGCGCAAGATGACGAACCCGTCAGAGTTGCCACTGGTACTGGTGATGGCAATGATGCCCTGCTTAGTGGTACCCATAAAGTGATGCTTGCCGCGCATGGACTTCAACGAGTCAGCAGCGGTGCCGACCGAGCCGTCGGTGGCGTTCTTGAAGCCCACGGGGAAGGACAAGCCGGAGGCCAGCTCGCGGTGTAACTGGGACTCGGTGGTGCGCGCACCGATGGCGCCCACGCTGATCAAGTCAGCCGTGTACTGCGGCGAGATGGTGTCGAGCATCTCGCACGCGACCGGCACGCCCTTATCCGTGATGTCCGCCAGCAGCTTCCGCGCCACCTTCACGCCCTTGTTGATGTTGTAAGAGTCGTCCACATCCGGGTCGTTGATCAACCCCTTCCATCCGACCGTCGTGCGCGGCTTCTCGAGGTATGCCCGCATCACAATGCACAGGTCCTCCTGCAGCTCGTCGGCCAGCTCCCGCAGCCGCGTCGCATATTCCAACGCGTTCTCCGGGTCGTGAATGCTGCACGGTCCCACCAGCACCAGGAGCCGGTCTGAGTCCTGCCGGATGATGTTGCGTGCCTCGATGCGGCTGTTCAGGACGGTGAGCAGTGATTGTGCGCTCAGCCCGATGTCGTATTGCACCAGCTCGGGCGGCGCGAGGGGCGTGTATTTCTCAACTAGGAGGCTTGGGGTTAGACACTAGCTAACCAAGCTAATCACGCTGGATGGGTTTGAACTAACCTCGGACATCTTCAGCGAGCTTCTTGCGCAGAAGATCGATGTTGGTAGCATCGAGGCTGGGGGTGGCCGCAAGGCTAGGCATGTTGATACGGGTATGTATGGAAAGCAACAACGAAAGACGACAGCAATTGGAGCGCTAGGTAGAAGAACACACAAGGGATAAGAGAAGATTAACAACAGAAGGAACACTACTCCAGGAGAATGTCTAGAACGACAACACTTGCTATATACCCTGCTGAGATCTCATACAAACTCGACCCCCCTGCTCTCCATCCCGTCTGCTAACATCAAACCTTCCTCCTCACCGAGCCTGAACAGGACTCTTACCGGACCAGCACGGCTCAGTCAGTGTCAGACCTCCTGAGTCTCTCTTCCCAGCCGCAAGCACAACAAAAAACTTTTGATCGGCTACTCTATCGTGATTGTCTTGGTCCACAACCCGCTACGTCGTCGAATCGTCACTGCACGAACATCTCCGAGTAGCAGAATATCGGGGGCAATTACGTATTGCGGTAGTGTACCCTTCGGCGTGGCTTTTGCAAACCCAGCTGAGGACGAGTTCCACAGGCTTGGGCACAGTCGATCAAAGTCAGAATCGGCAGAGTGGGAAGACAAAGCTTTGAGCGCAGCGTAGGAGGATTCAAGAAGCGTCGGGACGTGCCCCGATGATCGTCCTGGATGATGTCCCAGAGAGGATAGCTTGAGAGGTGTTCATTTTCCGTGTTGAAGCAGGCGTGATGGGTGGGTGCAGTGGGTAAGGAGTTCGATATTTTGATATTGTTGTATTGTGATGGTGTAACTTACCTTACAAACATGCTGCTGGTATCATACGAAGAATAATACCCGCTAAATTACCGCTTGACCCGCCGGCGCTAAACCCAGAGAATGCGGGATCGACGCCGCAGCCGCGCTCCGATAAGCGATGAGGAAATGGAATTCCTGCGAAACTCTTCTCCTCATCCTCTTCATTCTGTCCCATGGTTGCCATTCACCTGCCATCCTCTATTTGTCCCTGTGTCCATGGCTCCGCCATGCCATCGTTTTATCCACGATCTATAAGCTGAAACACCTCGGTCTGTCCGTATCTGGTGGTTTGTTGTTTGTCTCTGACTGATAGTCATACAAAACCACCACACGGCTTGAGCCGACTGGGTCCTCATCCCCATCGCTGATCGTGACTATTTGTCGCGGAATGGGTCAGGAACATGGACACCCGAACTGGGTCAAGGCGGGACTGAACTCTCAATCTAGTATCTACGAGTATCTCTCATACTCCACGGCCCACGTCAGGATGATTGAACATCCACCGCATCGTCAAACTCAAGCCAGCAACAAGGCTTCAAGGCTTCTCTACTTGGAGGCCTCCCGTCGACCTCTTCGCAGCATCACCATGTTGTCAAGTGCCATATCCACATTTTCCGATCGAGGGTTCATTGCCATCCATCCTAGACTAGCTGCTTCGGGATTCCACTAGTAGTGGACGTCGGACTTGCTGGTTGGATCGATGAGGATGAACTGGAGTTCACCCTAAGGGGCCTTGCTCTTCCAGCTTGCTGGGTTAGATCCAGAGCGGCTGCATCGCTTCGGGCTCCTGACCCGGGATTTCCTCAAAAGGGATATGTGACGATGTCAACGACATGGCCGTAGAGGCGGGCGACGACGGAGCACAACACATAATAGCGTAGCTGACCTGATTTTCTTCCTTTTCTTCCTGTTCCTGTTCCTGTCCCTCTTCTCGCTTCCCCACGTTTTCTCAACCTTCTCATTTACTTTTGCGTGTCTCGTTTGCTTCTTGCTCTTGGTCTTCTTTTCCAGTCTGCCAGACTCAACCCATTCCTGCTGGCTCTGGATCTTATCATTCTTCTGTTTAACCCCTGCTATTCGAGACAATGCCGTCCACAATCCTGGACGATGCTGACCGGCTTCGTCAGCGTTGGACGGATCTTGTCACTGATGTGACCCCTTCACATCTCCCGACGGGACTTTTCTCGAAGCGTCAGACAAAGTCCGCAGTAGGCATGGTAGACGTCGACCTCAATGTCTCGTTGATGCAAGCATGCTCTCAAGAGTACGATGTTTCTCCCTTGCATTTTGTACAAGCGGCGTGGGCTGCCATGCTGCGCTCTTATTCCGGGTCCGACGACATTACATATGGGGGTGTCGGTCTGCAACTTCCAAATCTGAAACAGCAGTTCACAGATATTGCTCTGTGCCGTGTACAGCTGGAACCAGACACTTCCATCATCTCAATTCCTGAGCAGTCCCTGAAAGAAGGGATACAAGAAGCGGACTTGTTGGTCTCTCCCCCGGGAGCATTGCAGGTCCTCTCCACGCTTGACCCGAAGCCATGCAACTCAGCTATCTGGATGTGTGATTCTGCATCCAAGGCTGGCATCTCCGAAAATGAGATTGCCACAGAAAAGACTGTATGTCCCTTCCATCACTCTTCTTTCCTGTCCGGTAACTAACCTTCATCGCTAGTTTGATTACGTTCTACGCATTGATCCCTCCTTATCTACACTAGACTTAATATACCACAAACCCACGGTCTCTCAGGCCCAGGCCGAATACATCGCCAATACCTTCGCCGATATCTTACATAATGTCTGCTCTGATCCCCATCAGCCCGTCTCAAGCCTGTGTCACCCCAGCGAGTTAGACACACTTCAGATCGGGGCTTGGAACCGAATCCTTCCTAGGGGCAGTGCCGTGTGCGTGGACCGGTTGGTCGAGGACGCTGCGCGGCGCACCCCCAATGCCCCGGCTATCTTCTCTTGGGATGGCCAGATGACTTACTCCCAGTTCAACCAGATCGCATGTCGTGTAGCACAGTATTTGGAGTCTGCTGGTGTGCGTCGGGGAGATCTGGTCCCAGTCTGCTTTGAGAAATCCAGATGGACTATCATCACTATGATCGCCCTGTGGAAGATCGGTGCGGCTTGGGTGCCTCTGGATCCACGGCATCCTCGCCAACGCATCGAGACGATTGTTGAAAGCGTCGAGGCGAGAACAGTAATCACTTCTGAGGCTAATCAGCCGCTTTTGGCCGGCGTCTCCCCGCAAGTGATCACGGTAGATGCCTCCCTGATTGACAAACTTGAAACGAGCTCGGATGTCGAGTTCGAGTCACGATCGCAGCCACACGATATCTCGTTTGTTATGTTCACATCAGGAAGCACAGGCAAGCCCAAAGGTGTTGTTCATGAGCATGCGTCTGTGGCTTCTAGTGCCCTGCACCATGGACCTGCCATGAACATAAACGAGGGTACTCGTGCCTTGCAGTTTGGTGCCTACACTTTCATCATCAGCACCTTCGAGATCTTCACTACACTCATCTTTGGCGGATGTCTGTGCATCCCCTCGGATCACGACCGCCACACGGACATCCGTTCTGCCCTCCGCTCCATGAACGCGAATTGGGCAATCTTCACACCCAGTTTCGCCCGGTCGCTCAAGACAGAGGATGCTCCTACCTTGAAGACACTGATTCTGGCGGGTGAGGCTGTCGCTCAAGACATTATCGATCGATGGGCTGCCGTCGCTCGCTTGATCAACATCTACGGTGCAAGTGAGTGCTCAGTCTGTATGATCGGGCCCATGGTCACAGACACCCCACGAAGCTGCATCGGCCGGGCCGTTGGCGCGCTCTCGTGGATTGTCGATGCCAACGACCACGACCGGCTGGTCCCAATTGGGGCGGCTGGAGAACTGATCATTGAGGGCCCAACACTGGCTCGGGGCTACCTGGCTGACCCCGAACGTACCCAAGCTGTCTATATTAGGGATCCCAAGTGGGCACAACAGAAGGGCATCACGCGGCAGTTCTACAAGACCGGTGATCTCGCTCGCTACGGCGATGACGGCAGAATCCATCTGATCGGCCGAAAGGACTTGCAGGTCAAGATCCGTGGCCAAAGAGTCGAGTTGACCGAGATCGAGGCCCACATGCGTGCGATTAACGGCCAGGTCAAGACGGCGGTGTCGATGGTGCACCCGCAGGGTAAGGCCATGCTGGTCGCCTTCATCTCTAGCCAAAGTGGCTTTGGTCCTGAGTTCGAGCACCCATTCCATGCTACGCCTGCGGACCAAGCTGCCATTTCAGCTGTGGCCACTCAAATAAATCGCGAGCTTATGCAGAGGCTTCCGCCGTACATGATTCCTTCTGCATTCATTCCCCTAGCATACATGCCCCTGACTGCCTCGGGTAAGACAGACCGGCGCATGATCACTACTTTCGGAACCGGTCTGTCCTTGTCGGAATTGGCTGCCCTCGCTGGAGGTGCGGCGACGGCGACGCGCACCATGCCTTCCACTGCCGATGAAAAGCAGCTGCAGCAATTGTGGTCGGAGATTCTTCATTGCCCTCCGGAAGAGATTGGCGTGGAGGACAACTTCTTCCATCTGGGCGGTGACTCCATCGAGGCGATGAACCTCGTGCGACGGTGCCGTGCTGAGGGATACCAGCTTCAGGTCAGCGACATCATGGAGAACCTTGTCCTGAGAGATATGGCCAAGGTGATGGTGCCTGGTCGCTCCTCAGCTGAAATTGCTCCGGCACGTCCCTTCGAGCTTCTCGGAGAGGATGAAAATACCATCCGCGCCGCGATCCAATCTGCTAGTGGGTTCAAGGAGGCAGAGCTCATCCAAGATGCTTATCCATGCACACCATTGCAGTCTGGCCTTATGGCTCTCTCAGCCAGGATCTCCGGTTCATACATTGCTCGTCATACGCTCGAGCTGCCTGCGAACCTTAGCATTGACCGCTTCAAGGAGCTGTGGGAGATTGTCGTCGCTAACAACGACGTGCTGCGTACGAGGATGCTTGAAACAGACCAATACGGCACCATTCAGATGGTCAGTCGTGGTCGCATTCAGTGGGGTTGCGGCAGTGACTTGGAGGAGTATCTGCAGGCAGACGAGGGAATCCCCATGCACGTGGGCGATGCTCTTACAAGACACGCCATTGTCACGGCAGATAAGACTTACTTTGTCCTGACCATCCATCATGCCATCTATGACGGCCTTTCCTTAGAAATGATGTTCAATGACCTTCTCGACGCTCTGCAGGGTAGTGTGCCTCCTGCTCGTCCGCAGTTCCGGGATTTCGTTCAGCACGTGGTTGAGAGGAACAACGATGAGGCTACGGAGAACTACTGGCGCGAAGATCTGGCAGAAGGCGATTTGATCGCATTTCCAACGCTCCCCTCAGCTACGTACCAGCCACTGGCTAACGAGTCGCTCATTCACAACCTCAAGCTCAACCGTAGCGGTCCCTCGGACTTCACTACCGCAACGCTGATTCGCGCTGCTTGGACCTTGCTCCAGGCCCGTTACTGCGATTCGCCAGATACGGTGTTCGGCTGCACTGTCAGTGGACGTAATGCATCTGTGCGCGGAGTTGAGGATGTCGTCGGGCCGGTCATTGCCACTGTTCCCATCAAGGCACACTTGGAGTCCCAGCAATCGGTCACCGACTACCTCAAAGCAGTTCATGCTCACTCGGTCGAGATGACCCCGTACCAGAACTATGGTCTGCAGAACATCGCCAGGGTCTGCGACAATGCTCCGTCTGCGTGCAGCTTCCAGACTCTGCTTGTCATTCAACCCGCCAGTTCCGTGCCGGAGGCTAGTCTCATCCAGTCCTTCTCGGCACCCCGCGCGAGTTTTAGCACTGTCGCCCTCACTCTGGAGTGCAGTCTCTCTGCCGATAGTGAAGTCCTGGTCCACGTCCACTTCGATAATGCGGTACTCCCTCGAGGTCAGATCGAGCGTATTGTGCAACAATTCGAGCATATTCTGCAGCAGCTTTCCAAGGAGCCAGCGGGCACACTTGCGGAGTTGGAGTTGATCAGTCCTCGGGACATGAGCGACCTCTTGAAGTGGAATAGCACGATTCCCGAGGTGACCGAAGACTGCGTTCACAACCTTATCGCTAGGAACACTATGAGAGATCCGAATGCCCCAGCCGTTTGTGCGTGGGACGGCAATCTCACATATGGCGAGCTAGACAACATCTCGTCGAGGCTAGCCGCTCACCTTATGAACGCTGGTGTCGGCCCCGAAGTCTTCGTTCCTCTGTGCTTTGAGAAGTCCATGTGGACGATCGTTGCCATGCTGGCCACCATGAAGGCTGGTGGTGCTTTTGTTCCCATGGACGCTTCGCAACCGTCCAGCCGGATGCAGCTGGTCGTCAAGGAGGTCAATGCTCATGTTATGCTCTGCTCCGAAGAGCAGCTTGGCCGTTGCCCTGGTCTCGTCGAGAAAGCGATTGCTGTGGGACCTGGTATGGCACAGGCATCTATGCCCAAGCTGTCCAAAACCCCCGTGACTCCGTCCAATGCTGCCTACGTGATATTCACCTCCGGTAGCACTGGGACACCCAAGGGTTCTGTTGTTGAACACCGCGCCTTCTGCACCGGTGCCATCTCCCACAAGGAAGGTCTTCAGATGGGCCGTCGCGTCCTGCAGTTCGCTTCTTACACCTTCGATGCCAGTGTTTTGGAAACCCTGTCGACCCTGGTGCAGGGTGGCTGCGTGTGCGTTCCTTCCGAGTCCGAACGTCGTGGTAACATCGCCGACGCCATCACCCGCATGAACGTTGACTGGGCTGTTTTGACTCCCTCCTTCGTAAGCACCATCGATCCAACGACGGTTCCAACGCTGGAAACGCTCTGTCTTGCCGGTGAGGCTATGACTGCCACTCATGTCTCTACATGGACTCCTTATGTCCGACTTGTTAATGGATACGGCCCTAGCGAGTGCTGTGTCTGCAGTTCCTCGAATCGACGCGTCGTTCCCGGCACTCCACCCAACGATATTGGAACTGCCGTCGGTGGAGTTTGTTGGGTCACCGACCGTGACGACCACAACAAGCTGGCTCCAGTGGGATGCATTGGTGAGTTGCTGGTCGAGGGTCATACCCTGGCCCGTCACTACCTCAAGAACGAGGAGAAGACCGCTGCTGCGTTTATTCCTCGGCCTTCCTGGCTACCTTGGTCTCGATGCGACCGCCTATACAAGACCGGTGATCTCGTCAAGTACTCCTCCGACGGCTCGCTGCTCTTCATCGGTCGGAAGGATACTCAGGTAAAGATCCGAGGCCAGCGTGTCGAACTGGGCGAGATCGAGTACCACATTTGTTTGCCCACCGAGGTTTCCCAAGCTGTGGTGTCGTATCCCAAGAAGGGTTTCTACGCGAACAAGCTCATCGCTACCCTCGAGCTGACCGCCACCAGCGGTGCTGGATTGGTTCCTGTCTCGAGTGCCAAGCTGAAGGAAACAGGATTCGACTTGGCCGCCTTGTCCCGGTACATGGGGGAGACGCTACCTACGCACATGGTTCCAGTCATTTGGATTGTCGTAGAGAAGATTCCCAGCTCCTCTTCCACCAAGATTGACCGCAAGGCCGTCGACACGTGGTTGACACAGCTACCGGAGGACTTCCAACCCACCATGGGCATCAAGCGAAATGAGCCAACTGTGTCGACGCTGCGACCGGACGAAGGCAAGGCTCTAGCCATCAGCAGCAAGATCGCTAGCTTTGTCAACCGCGAAGACAGTCCTTTGCAGGGCAATGACTTCAACATCTCGTCCATGGGGATCGACTCCGTCCAGGTTATCAGTTTGGCCAGTTTCATCAAGCAGACGTACGGGGTCAAGGTTGACGTGTCTCGAATTCTGGACGGACAGACGACGGTCCGCTCGTTGGCTGCACTGATCGATGCCGAGTTGACCGGCACTCCTCAGGTCACGACATCCTCGTTCGATGCAATGAAAGAGGCCAATGTGCTCATGCAGGAGATCATCAAGCGCAGGCCCATGAAGAAGACCGTCTTCGTGACGGGCGTTACCGGCTTCCTGGGTACTCAGATCTTGCGGCAGCTGTGCGATCGTCCGGACGTCGGGCGTGTTATCGCTCATGTCCGTGCCTCCACCCCGTCACAGGCTTTCATGCGAGTCAAGGACGCCGCCATCCGCGCGCAGTGGTGGTCCGACTACTACCTGACCAAGCTTGACGTGTGGGCCGGTAACCTCGCCAAGCCCCGTCTGGGACTCAAGCCCAAGCAATGGGCCTCGCTGACAGGCGAGAGCCCCAACGACGGGCTCGTACACGCGATCATCCACGCCGGTGCGGCCGTCAACTGGAACGCCGGCACGGAGATCCTGCGCGCCGCCAACGTCGACTCGACCGCGGAGCTCATCAAAGCCGCCGTGAGCTCACCCGCACGGCCGCGCTTGGTGTACGTGTCCGGCGGCCACCGCTGGCACCCGAACGAGGACGACCGGGACATTGCGGCGGAGGTGGCGCACGCCAACGGGTACGCGCAGACCAAGTACCTATCCGAGCTGCTGGTCAAGCAGTTTGCGGCGCTGTACTCGAGTCAATTCGCGATCGTCAAGCCGGGTCTGATCCTCGGCACGCCCGAGGAGGGCGTTGCCAACACGGACGACTTCGTGTGGCGGCTGGCGTCGGCGGTCGTCGATGCGCGCTGCTACAGTCGCGACGTCGGCGAGTCGTGGATGTTCGTGACGAGCAGCACGCGCGTCGCCGAGGAGACCATCAACCAGGCGTTCTGCCCCGCCGACGCCATCCGCACCGTGACCTTCATGACGGACGGCATCACCGAGCGCGAATTCTGGGATATCTTCCACCACGAGCTCAAGTACCCGTTGCGCGCGGTCGACCATGCCACGTACCTGGAGACGCTGCACCAGGCCATCCAGAAGGACTCGGCGGGCCACCCGCTGTGGCCGGTCATGCAGGTATTCGATGCGATCAACGGCCGCCTCGGCGGCGGCGACGTGCTGCCCGATACGAGCGTGGTCACGCCCTCGCAGCGACAGCACGTCAAGGCCACCGTCCGGCGCAACGTGCAGTTCCTGGTCGAGGCGGGATTCATCGCCAGTCCGACGGGCAAGAAGATGCGATACATGGCGGAGAAGGTGTTCCAGCGGTCCGGGAATGTATGGGAGAATGTCAAGGGCGTGGTTAATGGATTGGCTTAGGTGGAAGGAAAGTCCTATAGGATGGGCTTGATGAATTCATGTAGTGTCTAGTCTGATGTACAATAGCGTAATGATTCTTTGTATTGTTTGATAAATGTTCACTGCTGTGTGCCGATCTTATTGTTCTGTGTAGACAGCACCAATGGCTTCCACTTCCGCAAGTAGACCGAAGGATTTGGTAGGGGGTGGAGCAGCTGAATCTCGTCTATGTGCGCTATTAGAGCTCACGTTGCATTAGCTGGTCCATCCATGGGTTGGTTGCGTGGAGTCAGTCGAGTTCGTCGCCGATCAGTGCTGGGGAGGGGGTATATTAAGGCGCGTCTGCCCCGGGGGTTCCTCTCTCTTCGTTCTTTTTCTTCTCCCTCTCAGTATTCAGCCCTAACTCTGCCCACCATTCTTACTCCAACCACGTCACATCACATGACAGAACACTATAACCACATCCCCTAAGTTCAATCTCTCACCAAAACCGTATACACAACACAAAAATGGACATCTTCGCCCCAGCCCCACCCCCACCGACCGCCCTCGGCCGATACCGCCCCCTGTCGTCGACAGCCGGAATCCGAGTCTCGCCCTTTCAGCTCGGGGCAATGTCAATCGGCAGCGCGTGGTCCGGCGGGCTCGGCTCGATGAGCAAAGAGGCGGCGTTCGCGCTGCTGGACGCGTACGTGGCAGCGGGGGGCAACTTCATCGACACGGCCAACAACTACCAAAACGAGGAGTCGGAGCGATGGCTGGGCGAGTGGATGGCTGCACGCGAGGTGCGCGACCACCTGGTGCTGGCGACCAAGTACACGGGGCTGTACAAGCCTCCTGCTTCCAGTAGCACCGGCAGCACCCCCAGCAGCAAAGAAAGCCAATACAACCCGCAGTACCCGAAAGTGAACTTCGCAGGCAACCACCGGCGTAGCTTACACCTAAGCGTGCACGACTCCCTGGCCAAGCTGCAGACGTCCTACATCGACATCCTGTACGTGCACTGGTGGGACAGCACGACGTCGATCGAGGAGGTGATGGACAGCCTGCACATGCTGGTGCAGCAGGGCAAGGTGCTGTACGTGGGGATCTGCAACGCGCCGGCGTGGGTGGTCAGCGCGGCGAACACGTACGCCCGGCTGCAGGGTAAGACGCCCTTCAGCATCTACCAGGGCCGGTGGAACGTGCTGCACCGCGACCTCGAGCGCGAGGTGCTCCCCATGGCGCGGCGGTTCGGCATGGCGGTTGCGCCGTGGGATGTGCTTGGTGGTGGCAAGTTCCAGACTGCTGAGGCGATGGCCCGGCGGAAGGAGAGTGGGGAGGGGCTGCGGAAGATGATGGGGAGCGGGGATCAGACTGACGAGGAGGTGCGCATGAGTGAAGCACTTGGAAAGGTGGCGCGCGAGCATGGCATTCAGTCTGTTACGGCTGTGGCGCTGGCGTATGTGCTTTCTAAGGCGCCGAATGTCTTTCCTGTTGTCGGTGGCCGCAAGGTCGGGCATCTTATGGATAACATCCAGGGGCTCGAGTTGCGGTTGACGCCGGAGCAGATTCGTTTCTTGGAGGGTGTTAAGCCGCTTGAGATGGGATTTCCGCAAAATATGCTCGGTGATGAGCCGGGGGTTTCGGGGAGGGAGGGCATGGCGTTGGCGAATGCGGGCGTTGTCGATTGTGTGAAGTTTGAGAGGCCTGTTGGGTATGCTTGAGAGACGGGGGTTGGGCTTGGGTGGGATTGTCATAAAATGTGATTCACATGTGGATTGTATGATTTGCTAGTATACATAAATGAACTCGTCGTTCTCTCGGTCTGTCAAGTCCAGCAGCCCCTGCTGGCCTGTCCCCTCTGCCGAGGGCTGTTCCACCTCCCCTGCGCCGTTTCTCATCGAGAGATCCTGCAGCTTCGCCGGCTTGCCATTCTTCACTCGTAGTCGCTCCTGCATGCGATTCAACACCACCAGATTCAACCATTGCAGCATTGTCACCCCGACCAGCGCCACGAAGATCCCCAAGCACGCCTTCAACCCCGGCCGATACGCAGGAGCATCCTTCGAGGTAAACAGCAACGGTCCGATGATATTGCCCGACGAGGTAGCAGCATTGAATAGACTCATGCACACACTCTGCTTGGTCGTGCCACCCGTGTTGGAGACAATCCAAGCCACGATCAACGGATTACCGCCAAACAGAAACGCAAGCAGATAGAACCCGGCCATCAGCCCGCCGTTCGCGCTCTTGTCGCGGGGCAGCGCATACAGCATCGCCAGTCCCGCAACGACAGGCAGCATCAGTCCCGCCAGGATGACGCCCTTCATCTTTGCCTTCTGGGCTAAATAAGAAGCCAGGAGGATGATGATGACCTGCACCGCGCCAAACGGCATGTTCAGCAGCGTGACATTGTCAGTCCCAAGCCCGAGGCCTTTCAGGATCAGCGGGCCGAAGGTGTTGGTCACAGAGGCCCCGATGTTGAGGAGCAGCGCCAGGCTGATCCAGAGGTAGGTCTTGGGCTCGAGCACCGCTTCGACCAGGTGGCTCATCTTGTACTCGCGGGTCCCCGTGCCGGTCTGGTTGGCTCGGAGTCGCTCGACGGCTTGCTCTTTTTCAATCTCGGTGAGGAAGCGCGCGGTGTCGATGTCGTTGTCGAGGCGCCAGTAGATGATCGGGCTGGTGGCGATCGTGAGGAGTCCGACGAACAGGAAGATGCTGTTTCCGACGGTTAGCTCGGCGGCTGTCGCTGAGTTCGACGGCAACTTACATCTGCCATCCCTTCAGGACGTCCGACTTGATCTGGCTCAGTCCATAGGACAAGGCCGCTGCGATGATGGTCGCCCAGCCGTTCGTGGAGTAGAAAGCGGCCACGCGGATGGGCTGCTCGGCACGGCGATACCAGCGCGCAACCAGGATGGAGAACAGGGGTAGACAGCCCGCTTCGAATAGGCCAAGGAAGAATCGCGCCGCGAGGAGCCCGCTGAAGTTATGACATGCGGCCATGCATGTTTGCGCGATTCCCCAGCCCAGACACAGACTGGGCATAAGGATACGGGGCGGCACCTTGACAATGACTGCGTACTGTCAGTAACAACGCCACGGGAGATTGTCCGGAGGCGAGGATGCGCTCACGCCAGGAAGAACATGGCTGCCAGGCCAGCTGAGCGATAGCGGCGATCGAGCCGATCAGTGAGTACTGGTTGCCCGTAAGGTGGGTATCCTCCACCAGGCCATATGTGGCCCCAAATCCCAGGACGGTCTTATCGAGAATCTGCAGGAAGTACACCCAGACCAGAATGCTCAAGATCGCCCAATCTGTCTTCTGTTTGATCCGCTTGCTATCCTCCTCAGTCAAAGGTATGCCCGGGCGAGAGACGGGGTCGAAGTCAGGCGATGGGAAGGAAGCGCCTTCGACGTGAAAAGCAGCAGGCTTAATGTCATTTTCCATTTTGTCGGATGAAAGGATAGAGGAGAGAGCTGGGGAAGAGAGGAGACGATCGACGGGCGAGAGCATCTACCCCATATAAGACAACCAAAAATGCGGGGGAAGCTCCGGGCAGCCGGTTTCGTTCTGGACGATCTCGAGTGCCACCCCCACGGCCTTGACTTGTACTGTCGTACAACATTCAGCCTGCATTTTTGGTTGAAGATGCCGAGGATTCAGCCGATTTCCCCGCTGTCGATCCCCCGTCATTCGGTCTCACTTTCCACCCCCACGCTACACGGGGTTATTTGCGGGTTTAACCTTCATATCCCTGGCTGCTGCTGGTCGGGCCTGGTCAGATGATGATGACGGTATCGATTGCAGGGATATTCTGGGTTCTCACTGGGTGCGAGCAGGGTCGCATCATGCAAGGTGTGACTTGTGGCGGTAGCCACCACCCCCACGTCCGCGCAAGTTGCAGATACGTGACGGTAGGTCCAAGCGGAGATTGATGGAAGATGTCCAAGATGCCGAATACTTTATTGTCTATCGCTCACGGAACAAGTTACATTGCTGGGTGTAGGCCCGAGTTGTTGTAGTTCATGCCGAGTCTCCAGCATATGGACAGAACCGTGCCATTTGTCCCTTTCGGGCAAGTTGGGTTTGGGTTGGTTTGGGATTTCCGACACACTGCCGTACAGATTTATTATGGCACGTAGTTCATATAAACTCACGCTCTGGTGATAAGCGTAGTTGAAAATCCGCTCTGACTTCACGACGGCAGCTCGTATCTACTCTCGACAGGACCCGACATCTCCACTAATGTCGGTACAGGTGCATGGGAAGATTCTGCCACTTTAGGCGATGCCAGCAGCTCATACGACGGCACTGTTCCACTTGCCGGACTCATTGGAGCCCTCGTCTCACTTCCCGACTCCTTCTTGCGCCGTCGAAGCAGATACCATGCCAACGCGCTCGCCCCCAACAGCGCACAACCCACCCCCACACCCACGCCAATCCCAACTTTGGTCCCAGTACTCGTTCCAGAAGGCGTCGCTGCTGGAGTTGTAGTCTCCGCAGGGACAGTGGACGCGGTGACAGCAACCGATGCAGTCAGAGCCACAGAAGATATAGTCGGAGCGGACGTGGATGCCGTCGTCCTTGTCGTCGTCGAGGCTCCAGCTGCCGTCGTGGTAGTCTCCTTCCCGGTGATATTGAAGTAATGACTTGCAAAAATACCGTCCTCGTTGTCCAAATCAGTGGCGTCTCGGATCTGGAAGAAGAACACGGCCCCGTCGCTGAGATTTCTCTGGGTGCTGACGATCCAGTCGTAGCTTGTTACTCCATGGAGGTTGGCTGCGGCAGTTAGATGTCTCCACGCTTCGGTTGGTTTCAGGGCAGCGGTCAGGATGCGTACTCTGCAGCCACTCGTAGTCCGGGTTATCGTTCTGCCAGAGCATCAAGGAGAAGTACTTTAGGCTGGTCGCCCATCGTAGCTGCACTGTCTGCTCGAGGGTGTAGACGGGGTCCTCGGAATAGTCGTGGATCGGCCCGCCGGTCGGGGGGTTGTAGAACATCCCCGGCTCTGCCCATACGTGAACAACAAGGAAAAGGCAAAATAAATAGATGGAGTCGACCATAGCTCCAGATGGGTGGTGATATCGTCGGAAAGTATCGTGGGCGTGTGCTGCGTTTTAGGGCTCGTCCCGGCCCAGGGAACAATTTGGGTAAGATGAAGAACACACAAGAAATCGAAGGGCGAGAGCGGGGGAAGTCTCTGACCCCGACCGTGAAGTCAAGCTGGTAGAGTGACTCCAAGGGAGTGGTTCACTAATGACTAGCTCGATGGTGTCGCCATTACCCTATGTCTTGTTGCTCTGTTGCTATTCTGATCACCCGAAAACACCCATAAGTCTGTCGGAGCCAATCACATAAGCCACGCTTTGTGTCCACGTTCGTGGAGTGGAGGCCTCGTTAGGCCTAAATGGCAGATCCAGAGTCTCATAATTTCGCCGGAGTCATTGCACGCTCAATGCCTGTCCGGATGAGGCACAAGTTCACCACTAGCACACAGAATGGTGGAGTATTTGACCGGGGGTAGACGAGATTAGCGCTAAGCGTCGGCTTGTGAGTGGTGGAAGAAGCCCCTACTTATGCAAAGCAGCTGCGCCGCAATTGGAGTCACTCAATACTGATTCGATGGATTAAGGGTCTACCATCGCCGCTATCGCGACTGTGAGTTCGGTCCACTGTGCAGTAGCCGCTCGAATTCCCCGAGTTGCCCTGATAAAGCTCAATCCGCGATTCCTATCCCATCCCACAAGTCTTTCGAATTGTCTACACTCGGTGATCTTGTGGATATGCTTCTCCCATCGCGACAACATGTCTTTCTTATCGCAGCAGGCTGCCTTCTTTTGATCACCTTCACACTATACCGTCATGCTCCGATCACATTATCCAGAGATCCTGTGCAATCGGCCTCAAGCTCTCTCCCTACCACACCAGAGCACAGCGCAGGAAACTCAACTCTAGGAGTAAGCAACCACCCCTTTCGCCCAGAAGTACCATCGTTCCCACGACAACCTCTTACCCTTTAACTCAGTTCGAAGCCATCTTCGTCCTCTCCGCCGGGCCGTCCTGGCGAACCCGGGGCCTTCAAGCAGCCGCCAATGTAACAGGCCTACGGCTCACGATCCCACCCCAACCCCCAGTTCCACCCTCGCTCATCACAGCCTTCCAGACCCTGGGGGACGACACACAGGAAACAACCCAGCACCCCACACGCGGCGCCAGCGCCGCCTGGCTCGCACACCTAGACCTAATCAAGCACATCCACCAATCCGCGGTGGACACAGCACTAGTCCTCGAAGACGACGTCGACTGGGACGTATCACTCCGCACACAAACCCCGCGCATCGCCACTGCCATCCGCAACCTCACGCACACTCCACCCACCGCCTACATCACCGCACCCTACGGCCGAGCATGGGACATTCTCTGGCTCGGCCACTGCGGCGAGTACTGGGAAGACGGAATAGAGACGGTGATTTTCGACGACCCCGCCGTGTGTCCGCACAAGCACTACTCCGGCTGGGCCAAACAGTATGTGTCGCGGCTGCCGGACGGCCGGCGCGCCGTATACCGCTCGTATAACCCCGTGTGCTCGTTTGCGTATGCGCTGTCGCGCGCGGGGGCGCGTAAGGTGCTTGAGCTGGTCGGGGCCGGCGGCGACGAGGCGTTCGATGTGGCGGTTATGCATCATTGTCGTGCGGGAAGGCTCGTGTGCTTCTCGGTTGTGCCTGAGGTCGTGCATCAGTATTTTCCGGCGGAGCGGTTCGGGGTTAAGAGTTTGGTGGATGTCGGAAATGGGGAGGCGGCTGGGGAGGAGGAGGCGGTGTTTGAGGGGGTAATGGGGTCCACGGAGAATATTTTGGAAAGTGCCCGGTGTCGCGCTTTGTGGGGGCGGACGTGTTTGAGGATGTGAAGTTATTCGGGGATGGGTTGTGAAGTGAAATGTGTTAATTGACACAGGTAAACACCTTGGAGATATATATTACTAGCGTTGACAAGGCAGAATGACACTCATAAAAATACAAGTGTCAAATTCGGTGGTTATGCAGCTAGAACACAGACAGGGTGTGTATCATGACGATAACAGATTGTAAAGAGAGTATCTGAGGGTATACATTTGTACCTGGTACAAAAGATATTGCACTGTCCCATGTTCGATGACTGCATGCATGTTGGAGGTGTAACCCCATAATTAGGTATATATTGCATTAGATAGAGGCATCTTTCACAACAACAGGTGCTGTGGTCTAGTGGTATGACGTCACGTTGTGGCCGTGCCAGCCCCGGTTCGATTCCGGGCAGCGCCACTTTCTTTTTCCTTTTGCGTTTTTGTTTTAGCAGCCATCATATTTGAGCCAATAGCCATCAATAAAATAAAGACCCCGGATAAACCAGCATACACATCTCAATCCCCAAACGGACTTGTGAACCCCAAAACCTCTCCCACATTCTTATACAGCCCCGCCGGCATGGGCCAAAACCGCAACGCAACCCCCCGCAGAATGACCCTCTCCCTCTCCTCCAGCCCAAAATACCACTCCTCGACCCCAAACAACAAATCCATGATCTCCGCCTCAAAAAGATCATTAACCGCCCTCTTCAACCGCTGAATCTCCCACTGGAAGCGATAAGCCGGCAAACCCCAGGGCATCTGCCCCTGCACGCCAGACATAAACAGGCCCTCCCTCCCAGGCCGCCAGGCCTCCTCGCTCCCCCCCACGGCACCAAGATCTAGATTCAAATCCACCAACCCCAAGAACTCAGGTATCATACCTGTCTGCGCAGCCAGACGCCAATGCAAAGCCCGCTCGACAGCCCAATCGACGAAGCGCGCACGATCTAGCCCCGGATTCGCATCGTCCAGCACATCCTCACCGCCAACCTCCCCCAGCGCCTCGCAATCACCCCCCCGCGACAGCTGAACCAGTTGCTCCGTCAAATCGCTGATCGTGCGCGCGACATGATCAAGCCGCTTGCGCAGCGCAAACGCCACCGGCCCGTCGCGCAGGGTATGCGGGTTCGTGTACTCCGCTACCCCTGCGCTGCTACTGCTGCTGCTGCTGCTACCAACAAACCACGGCCGGTACTTATCCTTCGTTAACTCGCTGCGTATCATTGACGCCGTCTCCTCGGGGGATTGTCGGCCCAGCGCGATCAGTAGCCCGGCTTCCCAGTTACGGCGCTGGGTGCGCCAGGTTTGGAGGGTGGCGTGGTAGGTTGTTACTGCGGCTGTGAGTCTTGTGTGGTAGTCCTGGAGGGAGTTGCGCGCGACGAATAGCCGGGTTTTCGGGTCTTTGAAGTCCCTGTGTAGGAGGACGTCTGTGGGTGGGAGTGCGTCGCCTCCGAGTTGGAGTAGGCTGTAGGTGCTGCTCCGTGTATTGGGGATTAGATATACCGGCTCGTAGGCGGGGTTGTGGATGTAGTTGTCTTGTTTGTGTAGGGGGAGGTCGCGGCTGAGGCCTACGCGGATGGGTTGCGGTTCGAGGTCGTGGAACGCGGGGATTGCTGGTGGTAGGGGGATTTCGGGCCAGGAGAGAAATTCGTCCAGCGTTATTGGGTCTTGGTTTGGGAGGAGTCGGATTGGGCTCACAGGTAGAGAGAGGAGTTGGTTGTTTGTGCCCTCTGGTCGGTCTGGAGTGGTTCTCTTTGGGGCGCGCGATGGGCCTTGGGGCGGGGCGGGCCGTTTGTTTACCATTTCCTGTCGAGGGAGAGGGTTTCGGGTTGTTGGTGAGAGCGTGATGTGTGTTATGCAAGATGATCGTTATGGAGAAGGTGGTGGTAGGCCAGCGCCGTGAGAACGAGGAAAGGATCAATGAGGGATGTGTGTATGTCATGTAGAGTGAGGAGAAAGTGCATGCGAGCTCTGACCAGGAACGATGCGAGATTTTGTGATAGATAACGAGGAATATAGAAACAGATGCAACAAGACAATTGAACTGGATATGAGGTTGAAGTAAGAGCATTGTGACTGAGAATAGACTTGCTGTGCGAATGGGACACCAACCAGATGATGTCCGGGTAAAGGTACTCTGAGATGCGCTCGTATTTGAAGCTGAAGTGGAGAAAAGCTCAGCATGGAACACCTTCGACGTCGACCTCATAGTGATCCATCAAGTCATCATATGAGGAAAGCGAGGTGCACATAGCGGAAGAATGTATGTAGTATGGATCGAGAGTCGAAAAGCTGGGCTGAGCTCTAGTCAACTCTCTATTCTCATTGGAGGCATACAGCGCCGCTCACAACTCATCCTACACAGAACAAAAAGGCCGATGTAGGATCGGAGTGAACTACAGTCCCTGCAATATAGAAAAACCAGAGAATTTGAGCTCACTGAGTGCCAAGACAGAAGATAGGAGCGCAAGGACAATATTGTCTGGAACGGAGCCGACGGTAAATGTAGTAATTGATGCAGTAGCAAACCACAGAACAAGAACCGATTCTCTAGTAAACTATCACTGCAGACCGAATAAAGCATAGACACTGCGAACTCCGGCACAGGAACCGATGGTGGAATCAAGAATAGCAAGAATAAAATCAAACAATCGTATAATACAGCACCAGGACTAACAACCACAACATAAACATTCAAAACACTCAATGCAGCACTCGCACGCCTCCTCGCACAGGAAACAACAGCACATCGTCAGAAGACTGGGCGTAGTTAGCCAAGTTCGAACCATCAATCAAAGCTGGGGACATACCAGGTGGTGAGACAACCACGGTCCTTGGATTGGGACTGCTCTTGCGGTGGAGCATATTGCATCTGCTGGGGAGGTGGATATTGACCCCCTGGAGGTGGGTAACTAGAGGATACCATCAGCAACGCTAACGTATAACGAATCCATCGCTTTGCGAACGTACTATCCCTGGGGTGGAGGTGGCGGTTGTTGTTGTCCGTAGTATGACATGGTGGATGCTGGCTGAGCACCGACGGCAAGAGGAAGCTGGGGGAACTGAGCCAGGAGGGGAAAGGGACGCAAGCCCGACTATTATATTCTAAGGGGACAGACAGCCTAGGCAGAAGGGATTGGCATTTGTCCACCTCAGCCCTGCCGAGAGGGGAAATCAAACTGGTTCCTCTTGGCCCTGCAGTCGCCGCTGGGGGTGGTTCCACCCTCCAGATTGCCATTGGGTCTATGGGCAAGGTAATCCATCGACCGGAATCAATAGTCGGGAGTCGACGTGAAGGACAGATAGCAGTCAGGGATGCTCAATGGCAGAGTTGGCGCGTGGGGAGGTTACACGTTGGGAGTCCCAAAATAGATAGGTAACACCTAGCCTCAACTCTCTGGGCGCTTGCATTGCAGTCGTGGCGGCTGGGAGGGTCAGCTCATGCGACCACCATCCCCAATCAGCTGTTTGAGGGTTGATTGGTGCCAATGCTCATTGTCTCTGCCAAGCAGAGGGTGAGGGTCTCCAGGGTCATGGCAGTGAGAGGAATCCGTGGCGGTGGATGAAGATATGAAGACTGGCACACGCGCCAAGACGGCGCTTCGCCCCTTAAGGCTGGACTGGGGCAGCAGATATCATCCCGCCCCATTCAAGCGCCAATAGGCGGTGCAGCCAAGACAAGAAATTGAAGTCTCGAGTCTGTGACAGGGGGTGCATTGCCAATGCAGAAATAGTGCTGCCTAGTGTGCAGTGCATGTGGCATCTAGACCTTCAAAAGTCGCCACTTAACATGCACTTGGGCTTGTAGCTCAGTGGTAGAGCGCTCGCTTCGCATGCGAGAGGTCAGGGGTTCGATTCCCCCCAAGTCCAATATTTTTGGGCCTTGCCCTTTTTGTTGTGCTGTTTACCCGAAACTAATCTGCATGCTAGTATGTTAGTTAGCCCGTTTGGCATGAATTGTGGTCTCGGCTCTATCGCAATATATTTAGATCGTCCCGTCTCATCTTCCGTGGCAACGGCTTGGGGACAATCCCCTTTCGCCAATTTCACCTTGTTGTGATAAGTTCCTCCTGTGACGTGTTATTAATATGGCTTCTATGATTCCCACTTGCCCTAAAACAGTTTCCAACCCTGTCTTATCGACTGGACCAGGCAATATTTCTAAAACTATATACATTTTCCGAGAGTGTCCAGCTTGCGCACTCCCCTAAGGCAGTCGTGATCGTTCGTCCAAGGTGGAGCAAGGGGACGAACACGACAGCCAGCCCGCGGTAATTTATGCGTCGCGCACGCTCCAAGGAACCATGACCTCAGTCTTGCTGGCCCACGCTGGAGGGTACTCGATTTGCTCAATGTGGATGTCAAGCTCAGCATCTCTCTACCCTCTCCAATGACACCCTACCCAATCCGTTGCTTCCTCCTCACCCAAACCTCCTGATCAGCAGATTCTACAGTTTTATCCTCCGATGCCGGAGGGTCCCGCAGTTGCACCTCCCAGACCTTGAGCTTGTAGTTACCTCGATCCGCCTGGCCAGAGAAGAGGTCGAACGACCAGCCATGCTTGGGACACGTGATCCCCGCGCTCAGGGTAATGCCGAAGTCCTCGATATCGAAGACACTGCCCCAAGAAAGCGGGTACAGCGCGTGCGGACATTGCTGGGGGGAATATCAGCTCTGCAAGGGCGTACAAGAACGAACCCGGAGTTACAGCATGCTTACATGATCAATCGCATGGAATTTGCCCTTAAACTGGAAGACGAGGACCTGCTCGTTGATATTGCCCGGCATGTCCAGGTCTGCTTCGACGGGCGATTCGGACGAGCACGCACCGGCCGAGGTGGGGACATGGAATGCTTTGCAGCTGGCTTTGATCCGCGACTTGGCATCGTCTGTGTCGACTTCTGGGAAGTCGGACGTGAGGCCCACTTTGCGCCAGGTGGCGCCGGCCTGTGAGGGTCGTTGGAAGGGATTCATCGTTGGTATAAACTAAGACTTGATAGCTTGCAAATCTCTCTTCTCTCTCTTTCTCTGCGGGGATTGGCGATTAGTCATCCCCGACACTGCCTCCCCACAACCCCCACACTAAATCTTCCCCCACGGAAATGGCGTCCAGGCTACTGGTAGGGGTAGTTACGTGGTTATCTAGGTCTGCTGTCGAATCTGGTTCAAGTTTGAAGCACAATAGAAGGCCTTTGACAATGTACACACGTATAGCGTAGGTCCGGCCCAGGATACGGAAACAAAATAGAAAACGCACAAACAAGTTCAAGTACCAGACCAATCGCTAATAAATAAACCCGAAAAAGTCAAGAAGAGCCATCAACTTGACATAACTTGTCATTCTGCTCGAACCAAGAGAACAGTCAAGGATCACCACTCAGCCGAGGCAAAGGCACATGCCATCTTTGATCGACTTGATCTCCTTCGCACTCAGCGGATCCTTCCCGTCGAAACTGTTCGCCTTGCGCTCTGCACTCGAAAAGGTGGTGATGTCCAAGGAATCACCGCCAATTACCGCCTTACCGCTGCGCGTGGTAGAGCCTTTGTTTTTGCGCTCGTAGGCCTTGAAAGCCGTCGCCCATTTCCAAGGGTCCTTGGCGGTTGGGAGCTGCACATCGGCTTCCTCAGCCTCCTCTTCAGCCTCTGCGATGATCTCGTCGATCTCGGACGGCCCGTGGATGGGGATGTTGTGCTTATTAGCATAAGCAAGCAGGTAAGGCACAAAATGCTCGCCGGAATACGTCTTGTTGGTGGTCGACGGTTCGTCGTCGATGTATCCGTCGGACCGCAAGGCCTGGGCTTCCTTGGCGAACAGACCCATGACCATGCCAAGATTGCGTACGTCGGAGTTGGCACCGAGTTGTCCCTGCTTTTCGAGTTCGGCGAGCGCGGTCAAGAGCATCAATTCGAGCATGATGGAGGTCTCCCGGAAGAGCTCACCGTCATCGATACTGTGAAGAGTCGAACAAATCAGCGCCCGGGATGGGTCCTTGAATCGAGATAGAAATTTACCCGATCATAGGGTCAAGGGAATTGGCACCGCGCAACAACGCGAGTCCTTCACAGATGGCCCACTGTTCCTTCCAATTCCCAGAGGCTTCCTGGAAATCGAGCAACATGTTCTGCGCCACTTCGACGGCCCCGTATCCGGCGTGATCGTTGAAGGTGTACATCTGGAAGGCGTCCGGGTCACGCAGGTCCACCATCGTGCGATAGGTGATCAGTCTCTGCATGCCTGCTCGGGAAACCGTCCACTGGTGATCAGGGTGGTCGGCCGCCGGCTTGCGACAGACACAGAGCTCTCCCCCATCACACTCGACCGGCTCATCGGCCTCGTCCTCGCTGTCCTCTTCCTCTTCGTCTTCGAACGGGCTTGCAACTGGGCGTTGGGGGTCTCCTTCAGGAATTCATGATAAGCTACATCCGCGTTGGCGGAGGCTGAAACCTTGGCCCAGCGCTTGTTGCGGGGGACTGTGGTAGTTGCTGGCGGCATTGTGTGAGTGGGAATGAGCTTTTGGATACAACAATGTTACAGAACGATGAGGTGGAAATTGCAAAGGCTGAAAAAAGTCGGATGGGGTCGCTGATGATGTATCGGATCGCAACGCGGTGAGGCGCGCGGGGAAGACGCGTTGTTTACCCGGATAAGATCAGCACTCCTACCCTAAGCTACTACTAACAATCATTCATATTCAGCCCAGTCATGACTGTCTATCGCCGCCTTTTCCACCTCTCCCATCTCTCCTCGTACTCAATGCAATGCGGTATCATTCATCGGCTGCTAGGATGTGGCAAACCGAAAAAGGGTTGACAGGAATGTCAATCGGTGGAGCTCAGTGGGGCCGTGTCGGTTCACGCCCCTCTACTGTGCACATTCATGTAAACTTCATCAAGATGTCTTCAGTATTGCATCGCGCATTCTTCGCACCTCCGGCAGACCCCATCTCTGCATCCACTCGCAACTCACCACTTCCTCGATCGTCGCTCTTCCGCTAGGCTCGAGTACTAACATCGACCTCAACATGCGCTTGAACGCAATTCTTTCCTCCTCAGAAAAGGTATCAGAGCCATCTCCTCCTCGCACATCCTGTATAGATTACTCAAACCGCTCGTCCCAGTCCATGGTGCTGGTACCGTACCACTGACGGAGGCTCTCTTTCACATTCTTGCGTCCATCTTCATCAAACCAGTTACTTCGATTCTCCCACTTCGCCCACCACCTGTCAGGAAGCCTACCCAGCATTTCCACCTGCTCAATCGTAACCTCATCCAAGGTGACCGGTAAGGCCTCGAAAGGCGATTTAGTCCCCATGATATCCCAGATAGTGCATGCGAGCGTCCAAATATCCCCGGAAACGAGAGCGCATCACTCGGGTTCTCAGGGTCAGCGAAGCGAGCTTCCGGCGGTGCGATCAAAAGCGGCGTATGGGCTGTGAAGTGCCGTGTGACGCGAGGGTCGAACGCTTCTTCAAAGTCCGCAATTATGATTTCTGCATCCGCGAGGGAGATCTCGTCGCTGCCGAGCCCGAGCCAGACGGGGACGATGAGCTCGGATCACATCACCACCATTGCGCACAATCTCTGCTTAACGCACATTCGTGGGTGTGATAAATGTAAAGCGTTGGAGGATCTCTTCTTAGTCTTCCAGGGAGCCTCGCACCCAGTCTAAATAATGTGGCTTGTCCGGCTCTTTCCACTCCCTTCGTCTTCCGTGACGCGAGACATTGTCTGCCACCAGTACAGACTTACTAGGCTCCAATAAATCCAACTTCTCAGCTGGCCAGAGGTCAGGAAGATAGCGATCCTTGAAGTGATCGAGAAAGAGAATATCGGTCCCTTCGTCAAGAACGCCCTGGCCCTTCAACGAGCGAGAGACAGATGCGCAGAAGCAACCAAAAGGTTAATAAAATCTTTCAAGCCGGCCAGGTCGATTAGGAGGCTTGCAATTGCCGCATTGACAGGATCGATCTCTAGGCTGAAATAGTGTTTGCCACCGGGCCGGCGCACGGCGTCACCGAAGAGAATGGTCGAGTACCCTACATAGCCGCCTAGCTCGACCATGATCTTCGGCTTTCGTTCTGCAATTAGAAATGTCATCACTGCGCCCTTCTCCGGTCCGATATGGATCAGATGGGCCTGGTCCCGAGCAAATCGGTCGATTTTTGCCAAGACTGCTTCCGGGTTTCCGGGAAGGGAGGTTTCTACGTGAGGCAGGGAGGAGATGTGTTGCAACAAAGCAAGTTCACGTCCGTCCTGTTTCACACAATCAGTTGTTTCCCGACCCGATCAGGAACTTTGCAAGTGCCATACTTCACGGCTATATCTTGAATTACCCATGTCGGCTGCTGCAGGCTATTATTGACGATATGTCGAAGATAGAACTACTTCGCGAAAGGGGGAAGACCGATTCAGTGTGCATGACGTTGCACTGTACGTACAAGAGCCGGCCAATTTATCCTCGGAAAGCCCATGATCGATAACCATGGAATGACATGACTTTGATCTGATTACAGCCGAAGCCCGACTTGGCCTCGCAAGGTGATACTGGATCGGGCTTAGCGGGGTGTTGGCGCCGGCGGAATCGGGAAGGGCCCATCGGAACCCTAATCAGATTCTTCCGCCCAACGCCTCCCCAATGTCGGGCAATAGATTAAACACGCCGAAACTCGATTGCGATTGATCATCTGCTAAGTGATTTCTTCACCGATACATTTTAGATCTACCACTGCTAAGCCTTCGTCCACATGGTTTTCCCAGGCAAGCTAAGCTCCGGCTGTGTTCTCTGTCGGAAGCGCAAAGTCAAGGTGCGCAAGTACGCCGTCACTCTCTGCTATCAACAGACATACTAACGATAAGGGCAGTGCGATGAAGGCAAACCGGGCTGTAAGCGCTGCATCACGCATGGGGTCCCCTGCCCCGGCTATACAGACTCCTTCGCATTTCGAGGGTATGAGGTAGCGAATGGGGAACTCACTGGGAAATTGAAAGTGGTCAGGAAAGCGCGGTCGATTGACTCAAGCCCACGTGAGCCGAAACAGAAGAAACAAGACTTTGCCAAGGTAGAGCCAACGGGGATCCCTGCTTCGGTTGTCTCAGATGACTGTGAGCTTATGTCTCTTTGTTATTTTAACCACCACCATGTTCTGCGAGTGCAGCGATCCCCATGCGAGGGGCATCTGGCATTCTTTCCAGATCTTTTCCAAGAGCGCGGCGATGAACCATGCTTCAAGCATGCCGTTCTATCTGTGTCTTATCTTACGCTGTTTCACAAGGCGCGCGTGCACATGCTCCAGATCAACGCACGAAGGCACTATGGTCTGGCCTTGAGGCTGTTGAATCAGGCGCTTAGCTTCAGTCAGTCTCAAATCCGGGATGAGATATTTGCGGCGTCGTTGTTTTTGAGCATGTTCTCGGTAAGCATCTCAGAGATGAAGTTCAGGAGCAACCCTATACAGATTACTGATCGACGATATGGACAGGATTTGAGCGGGGAGGGTACAGCAACGGGCTCACTAAACCCCCACATACCCGGCATCTACTCGCTAATGCAACTGCGAGGAATCCCATCAAGAAGAGACAAATATAGCCGGCGACTATGTGGCTGGGCATATACTCAGATGGTGAGTAATGCTTCTCCCTCCCGCACAAATAGAACCTGTCCTAAGCGCGCGAAGCAAGTGCAAGCGATGATTCGAAGAGAATTTCGGTATGCATGCATGCCGTCCGCCTTCGACCAGATTGCCCATCCGTGCACCGTGATCCGCTCGTCTATTCTTACCGGGAGACTGTCGGATTTCTGTATGCAAGTCAGCGACGCTCGGCGCACGAGCCTATCATCCGTGATTGCAATTGACTCTCTGCACGCCTTACTTGATCAGGCGTGTAATCTGCTGATCGAACTCCATAACTGGCAAGCAACCATCCCCGACCACTGGAGGAATCAGTACGAAAGTTCGACGCTGTCTCCTTCCGAGCAATCCGACCCAGACACGCCCGAGTCCCACAGCACGCGTGATCCGTGGACAACGTGTTTTCTAGCCGGCGTTCAAGCGGCGCAGATCTCGTTCTACCAGCAGTTCCTTGATTGCTGGGAGGAGTTGCGCTATTTGCAAGGAGCGCACGCTTCGTTACCAGAGCTATCGCTGATGGATCTTCCTGATGATCCGGTCATGTTCCTACTGGATGGAATGTCGTATCAGGTGAGTGTGATATGTGCGACTGTCACGAGCACACTTGGCCAGTTCGATGCATATAATCGATTTGTACTTCACGAGCATGCCAAATTAGCCAACGGGTACACGCTTTTATGGCCAATGTGGGTGGTGGTGAACTGCCCCTTCTCAGCACCCGATGAGGTGTTGCTCTGCCGAGCGGCGATCGAGAGTGTCGGCTCAACGATGGGGTATAAGCTGGCCCTGAGCTTGATCGAGCCTCATCGTGTTAATCACCCAATAGCCAGCTACTGACACCTATAATTATCATGATATCACGATCATTGCCCCCAAAGCATCATACCAGCTCCATAGATACTAATGACCTTACAACCTCAACAAATATCGCCCTGCTCATTCACACTCATCCACAACTCTACCGCCCATACTCTAACTTCAGCTCCTAAATCAGCTTGATGCTCTCACTCCGCCAATCGTCGCTCTCCACGAAAGTAGTTAAACTAGCTTCCCAGACGATGATTCTCGGCTTCTGAACATCATAAACCGGTCAATCCGCCCTCGTGGCGTTCCTCCCGCGCCCACTCCACACGTTCGGATCCAAGTCCGTGGCAAAGCTCGCCCACGACCACGCCATAAGATGGCTCAGTTCCGTGTAACTCTCAGGCATACTCTCAAACGGACTGGGATGGTAGCCGTAGCCATCGAGGTTGTTGAGAATAAACGCCACGTCGGAGAGGTGCTCTACACCCGCCCCCCAGGCTATTCCTGCAGGTTTCGTGTTGAAGCAGTACGCGGAGAGATTCTGAGAGGCCCAGACCTCGCAAGTTCGTCGGCAGGATGCGATGAAGACTTGGTCGCCGTAGTAGGCTGCTGTTTGGCGGAAGCCGGGGTCGTAGGGCTGCGGAACGAGACGTTACCGCCCAGCTCGGTTAACGAGAGGATACCGAAGGCGATGGTGTGGGGTACAGGGCCAGGAGGCGAGTGGCGATGGACTCGTTGAGTGCGAGCTAGCTCGATGTTGCTGTTTTCGGGCCGGTACATGATTCTGAAGGAATGGGTGAATGGCGGGGAACAAGTAGGCATACTGGTCATCCAGGCCTTTAACTCAGTTATTCACGGGCTTGGGGCATTGAGTTGTCCCTTCGTTTGTTGTAGTCCCAGCGATGATGGGGACATGCAGGAAGGCACCATTCTTCGAGCTGTTGACTTGGATATCGCGCAACAAACTCGCCGTCGATTGTAGGTTCCCATCCGGAATTATACGCCGAGGTATTTAGGATATTGTTCAAGGTCCCAAATGAAACGCTTCGAAGACAGTGAAGTTTGTCCGCAGCGCGGCTGCAGCCTGCTGCGGCGACAATACCATCAAACCTACTCTGTTACTCTGAGGTCAGGTTCAGAGGCCTCTGCGGAATGACAGGACCGGACTCCATAATTCCAGCCCGGAAGAGCTTGTCGTCTCGGCCGTGATGTGCTCGAAGGTGATAGCCGACGCTCTCGGAGCCGGCGCTTTGTCCGTAGATCGTGTTTTTAATGGGGTCGCCTATTTTAAGGTGAGATTCGCACCATCGAAGATTAGAAGACGAAATTCAGAAGGCACTTACCACCGAAACCAGTGGTGTTCTCCTTGATCCAGTGAAGAGCAAGCCGTTGATCTTTCAGACCTAGGTTCAGAGCTCCCGAAGTGGCTACTTCGTCACTACTGAGAAGTCCGAAAGGCCCCAGGCGATAGGCGATACTGACTACTATGATAAGTTTGTTGATGGCGATTGAGTTATTGACGATGAAGGTCAGATATCTCTTCTCTCCGGGGTGCCCCTCTTTGAAGGGACCCCCCCCCTCCCCTGGGAGACCAATTGAGCACATATTCAAACGTGGAAGACAGTGGTAACCAGCCATGAATCTAAACAAGGACGGGGAGACTGCCATTTTCGTACCCGGAAGGCCTGATTACGTTGAGGTAGAGACAATATTCGCTTTGTATATCCTCCTGTTGTTCTGGGTTATTGATTTTCTCTAATATCGCTAGTTACTGTTATATTTGAGATACGTAGCAAAGTTTGGCTGCGAAAGAAACAGTACATCTGAACTTACGAACATCCAGATCGGCTAGGAGATGCTGTCACCTCGGAAAGCCCCCGACGAAGCTACTTCCCCACAGGACCACGAAAAAAGTTGTAAAACCAAAGCAACTAGGGTTCAATTCCCTTGAAACGGCAGCACGGCTCTCCACACAGGCATTTTTTATCCAGCTGTCTCCAGTAATGATTTGAATAATCCACTGTAATCTCACTTCCCGCAACAATACCACGTGAAACCACAATGATTTGCTCCACTCCCAGCCACCAAAACTTTTGGAACTGGCTATTCGGTCGACAGGAGTGATTGATGAATCGGGTGAAGTTACCCATGTCCCCCTGGAAAATCTGATAGGTGCTGTTGCGTGAACCGCCTACCATAACATCTAGACCCTCAATGCCTCTCGTGATGAGGCCCGTGAACTTAGATACGCCTGTGCCACGATCAAAGTTCTAACTCTCTATTAGTCGCAATGCAAATCGTTCATGTAGCACTATTGTAATTCACAAATATGCCAACGAGAATTGAAGCAGCGGGAGAGTAAAAGAACACTTACGCAACGGGCGATGACCCCATTGTTCTTTCCAGTCGTGGTGCGAAAAAGTTGCACCGGTACTGGACCTCGAACACCACCAAACAAATTCGGAAAACACATGCATTGATTCTCTTTTATGTCATCCGATTGCCTCTTCTTGCATACGAGGCATATTTCGGGATCTTTATGGGAACCTCGGCGTGGGTCCTCGGTACCAAATACTTCGCGGTCTAGCACACACTCATCGATGAAGCAATACTGGAACCCGTTAGGGAGCTGAAGGTGCTTGTACGTCGAAGCTAGAGGTACTGCTGTACTGTCTGGCATTATTACCCACTCGTGGGGATGGCCGTGGTAAAGATGCGGTGTGTCTTGTTTGATGACCTGAAGGAGGTCCCGCCATCCCGGATGGAGAGTGTCAGCCGCCACCTCAAAACTGGATCGAATGCGCCTCAAGCGTGAGGACAATCCCTCAGCAAATCCTGTGCGATATTTGCAAAAGCGGTATACACCCGTACTAGCGAAGATGAGGCTAGCCCAACCGCCTGCATCCTTGATTTCTTTGTAACCTCGCCAAATAGCCCTAGGTAGTTTGTTAGAGAACAATATAGTGGTGAGAGGAAAGGGGGAGAGAAAAACACGATAACTACATTCGATTGCGAAGATCTTTTTCTTTCCATTTCAGGATTATGCAAGCCTCCTTCAACACCATCATTCGCGCTTCGGTTGTTGAGAGTTCCTCGTTCTCACATAGCATAACGGCGACTCGAGCTTCGAAACATTCTACCCAGTATGTCTGAACAATCATTTCTAGAGCACGGGAAGACTGGCTTTGATTGTAGTACTTCAGACATAAAGTGCTTATCTCGTGGAATACCTATCCATTCTAGTAATTAGCTGATTTATACACGGCAAAGTTTAAATGACATACCTCGACGCTGATAGCTGTGCGGATATCGACACTGGGCTCTATAATCTGTAGCTGTTAAACGTTGTGTTTCTTTCTTGGCACCGACGAACATACTGAAGAAAAACGACTCAGCTGGACCGGTGAGTGCAGCTGTCGCCATATTCCAGCTATGAGCTTATCAGCAGATGTCGGTTGTAGCACAGGCAATGGTAACCCCTCTCCTGATTTTTTCCGCAGCGGAAATCTAGTGTCACTGTGAACTTGTCGTACAAATTGACCGGGAGCATGCGAATCAGCCGCATTAGAGGGAGAGGTGCTATTATCGCTACCGTCCGGTTGAGTCTGCCTAGAAGCATCCTTTCGAGCTAGTCGGAGTCCGCCTACGGTCTTGCGCCGTTTGCATGAATGATTATCTGCTTCATGAGGGGAACAGTGTGAGTCCGGACTGCGAGAGGTATTCTGTACTTGATCCTAACTTTCTAGTTACATTTTTGCATTTGTTCGATGTTGGGAAACTTACTTCTCGGTGAGCCGGGGGAACTGGCGGTGGCAACAGCAGCTTTCTACTTCCGGGATCGATGCAGCCCTCTTCAGGTCAGAATCTGTGCGAAATTCGCACTCCTTATCAATACTAACTAAGAAAACTTCCCGCGTCTGTGCCGCCGAGCTCGCTCTATCAGTGCGTAGTGAATTCTCAATTCTGAGGTGTAGCTGGAGACTGGCAGTCTCTTTTGCACCGCATTCGCCAGTTACACACGCTTGACTGCTCTCGACGCTCCGCCTTAGAGCCTCAACGGCCGACTCAAGTTGCGCTGAAAAGGCTGGATTGTGAAGAAGGCTACACAGCTGGGAGACAAGCGGTGAAGGTACGGTGTCCATGATCAATCAAGAGCTGTCTTCTTCAAGAGGGAAACGATATGAAAGCGAACGATAACCATCATCGGCTGTGAAAAGAGCGATTGTGGCGTACCGTATTCCTAGAAAGCCAAGAAAGGCAGATTCTGCCCGGGCAGAAGGGCTGAGTCATTCATGCTGCTCCACAATTAATCAATCAACTAATCACCACGTCATCAAAGCCTTTTTTCCGGTGGCGTGGAGAGGCGTTGCCTGGAATCAGTTGGACATGTGGTTGATATCGATGAGAAACGAATGCGTATGTAGCAGATAGTCACGCATCATGGAAAGATGTTTCTGACATGCTTTTGTGTTGTACTTCTGATCTGGATAGTCCGTAGTCACCAAGCCCCGCTGCCCCGCTTACGCTGCAAATCTGAAGTGGTTTGAGGAATATCAAGCAGCCAATAGAAAGCATACCGTTTTCGGAAAGAATCCATTGTGGTGCCTATATAAGGGTGGACATCACCTAATGCTATCTCTTTTGTTTATTCCCTACTCCCCTTCCACCATGTCGGATGCGAGATATCTGAGCAGAGAGAATATGTCTTCTTACACTTATGACGAGAGATTAGGATGGAGGCGCTTTCGTGCATTGAATCCATTCAGGGGCATGTATCACGATGTCCGTCGGCGGCTGCCCTACTACTGGAGCGATATCCGAGATGCTCTGACCTATCGAACATTCGCAAGTGCAATTCGAATGTACTTTGTCAAGTATGTGATTGAATTGTCTATTTGATATGCTTCTTATCTAAAGTATCACAGTATTCTCCCTGCGATCGCTTACACTTTGGATATGTATCGACGGACGGGGGAGTTCTATGGGATCAACGAGGCGCTCTTCTCCTCGGCCCTCGCAGCCATGATTTTCAGCATCTTAGGCGCACAACCACTTACTATCGTTGGCATCACAGGCCTGATATCACTCTTCAATTATACGATATATGACATTATTGTCATCTATGAGCCGGCGATATATGCCAACTTCATGTGCTGGACAGCAATTTGGGCGGCGATATTCCATTGGCTTGTTGCTGCTTGCAACTTCTGCGACTATATGCGTTATGTGACGGAGTTTTCTTCTGAATCATTCGGTGCATACGTAGGGATAATTTATTGCAGTAAGTTCCTTATCCGCCCAAGTTCAATACTACGATGCTAACCTGAACAGTCAAGGGAGTTGAAGAGCTTGCTAATGAGTTCAATGTCTACGGCCCGACGGCTGGGTTCATGAGCTGCATGATCGCCATACTATATTTTCTCTCGGTATACGGCCTAGAGTGCTTGGGTTCCAGTACAGTCGGTCTCCCGTGGTTTCGAGGCCTGCTTGCTGATTACGCCTATGTGGTATGCTCTCTAGTTCCTATGATCTTGCTCGCACCTTCCTCTTACCTTGTATACTAGGTCGGGACCCTCTTTTGGGTAGGCTTTGCACATATTCCTGGAACGCTCAAGGAGACTGGTATTTCGTTCGTCCCTATCAGCCGAGCATTTTACCCCACACAACCGCGTGGCTGGCTGATACATTTCTGGGAGTTGGAGGTCAAATGGGTATTTGCGGCCCTGCCTTTTGGGTTTTTGGTCATGCTACTGTTCTACTATGACCATGTAAGCCACTTTCTAGCGATTGTGAGGATGTTTGCCATGAAATACTAACTTTCCCAGAATGTTAGCAGCCTCACAGCTCAAGCCAGACAGTTTCCTCTGCGAAAGCCTGCAGGCTTCCACTGGGACTTTTTTCTCCTAGGCTGCACAACCTTTCTCGCCGGGATAACCGGTATCCCATTGCCAAATGGCCTTGTCCCACAGGTAACAACTTCTTACGTTTGGAACTAAACAGTAAAGACCACATGCTCACAACCCCAGGCACCTGTGCATACCGACTCTTTGACTATTTACCACACGGATACGCTGATCATCCCAACTACGGGGGGCGAAAGCGCGGAGCTCCGCCGCCCTATAGTCAAAGCCACTGCTGTCATTGAACAACGTGTCTCTCACTTCCTAATGGGCCTTGCTATTATTGGTACCATGACTGGGCCCCTCCTCATAGTCTTACACACCATGCCTTCTGCAATTTTTGCCGGTGTCTTTTTCATTGTCGGCTGGGGTTCCATCGAATCGAACGGTATCTTCCAGAAGACAATTTTCCTTCTCCGCGAGGAACGCTTTATCCAGCGGGACGAACCTTTATTACGTGTCAGGCGGCCAAAAATAATACTTTATATCTCCTGTCAGGCATTTGGGGTCGCGGCTTGTGTTGCGATTTCTCAGACGATAGCCGCCATTGGGTTTCCGATCTTAATTATTGCTTTGATTCCATTTCGAGTATGGGTTATGCCAAAGTGGTTTAGCAAGGACGATTTGGATGTGTTGGACGATCTGACAGCGGATAATAGTACGGTATTGGCAAGCCTAGGGGGCACGCCGAGGTTTCCGGGGCCGCAAGACAAGGAGAGAGAGGATTATGGACTCGCGAGACGCTCTTCAGAGCAGAAAGGGGAATTCTCTCGACAGAGGTTGGGAAGCATTCATCGATGATGTCGAAAAAGAATCATTGTTGTTTGTGCAGCGCAGGCTCGGGGATTTGTTCATAGGATGGCATCACGTCAATATACTTGAGGTAAGAGAAGATGCTAGTTAGCAAACGTATATATCATGGTATGAGTCTAGGTTTCAGTTCAAATTATCTATGAGCTTACAAGCATCTATACTCGCTGGAGATAGGACTAGGCAGTACTGTAGTAACGAGCATTGCCTTTTTTCAGCGCCACCTTTCACTCCTCTAGTCTATACTAGAGCTTTGTTGGATAATTTGGAGATTGTCGGACCATAAATAAGTGTCTATCGATGCTCTGGCAAGTAGCAACCGTACGAAGTACTCCCGAGAAAGGAAAATCGCTGAGACAAATGTTTCGGTAGAGAGCAAATTGGGCATTCGTATCAGCACGCTGTTTAAAGAAAGAGTACCTTGAGGAAGACTGGCTCAAACGCTTGCTTGGATATGTTCCATCGTTTGTGCCAGGATTGTGCTTCTACGGGTATTCACCGACACTGCTCAACTTCACACGACTACTCGTGCGAGCCTCGACGTTGAGAGTGGTATTGAGGGTCCTCAGACAGCAATCAAGAGGATACTTCGTCTCTGTCTATTGAGCTTCTCTGTAGTCTGCCGAGATCAAGCCTAGCGGAGTACTACTAAGTCACTCTTCTCACCTAGGAAACCAGTTTTAGCCATGCACGATCCCAGATTACATCAGGCGAGTTGCAGCAGAAACTTCCAGGATTCAATTACGTCAGCTCAGAGTACACCAGTCCGGAGATAATAGTCTAGAAGTACAAATTATCAACCCATTATCTGTTTTAAACGCCAATTCCCTGGGGTCGCTGCCCATCTACTCATTCCACTCGTTGTAAAACTGCCGATGCCGTTCGTTGAGAGGAATCTTCGGAAACTAATTATATTTCAACTTATACTGTATAATAAAAGCAAGCTTTGGGTGAGATTGCGTCCTCAATGTCCACACCATATTTTACGCCGACTAACACAAGGAATCCCTCTCAAAACCATGCTTGTCAACCTTTACAAGAGTTTAATGTTTCGATGTTCGCGTTATGGCAACCCTAATCAACCTTATTTGGATCCTAACAAAACTTTAATGGTCCATAAAGTGCTCTCATGAACCTGTTAAACGTCGATTTGTGTAAATCTGGCGCACTCCAAAGCGTAACACTTTGGCAGCCAAGCGAGGTAGAGATATATAGTTGAGGGAATTGAGTGGTTTTGTCTAAAATTGGTAAGTAAATACTAGAGTGGCTTAACCTAACCGTTAACCACTCTAGCTTTAGTTATGGACTTTATACTGCTGAAGAGTTATACCTTTCTTGAATACATCTATACAGAATGACTGAGAAACATTTACTAAGGAATATTTAAATTCCTATAGTCCGGAGCAGACAAGATAGTAATAGTGATAGTACAGTGCCTTGCAAGTTTGGATTTCACACTTTATAAACCCTTTCGCTCTTTCTAAGCGCACACTTGTAGACTAGTTCGAATAGAGTTAGGCTGTTGTTGAGAGTCTTTTACACATTGTATCAAGATAACTCGCTGAATAGTGTAAGATCAACTAAATTTATCACATGAGTTCACTTGAATTCTAGACCTGCGAACAAGCTAAATACTTTTTCGGAATTGTCCAATAAATCAGGAGGAATAGGGGTAATCTAACTACTTGCAATGGAAAATGAGAATGATACAAGGAAGTAGCCCGAAATGACCGAGCGGGTGCTGCTGGAAACAGAATACTAGAGACCCAGATCACATGATTTAGATCATGCTTCAGAACCCGATCGAGTCGTATCACCAAAAAATAGACTATCCATTACCTGTCTGTAACCGTGGATATTAGCGGTCACCGAAGTTCGACAAATATCCGCTCGAGACATGCCCAAATGTACAGCCACCAACCAGACTATTCATCACATTAAGCTCACGAACAAAATTCCACGGGTCAGTTCAGCCAGAAAGTTTAGAAGACATGCCGCTATCTGACCAACTTTCAAAACCATACACAAACCTACCAGGATTCAAAAACCGAAACATTGAAATAAAGACTTACCAGTTCCTTTTTATCATGGGTGAATATATGAACTGCTTTTAACTATGTTATAATATGGCAGTAGACGGTCCTATGGGTTCAATTTAGAGGACAAGACACTATTTAACTCAACAATCCAAAGAAATACTTTTTGTCCTGCAAGCAAACATAGAATTGGTTTCACTTTCTCCCCCAACCATGTAGTGCTGATCCAGGACAATGCCGGCAGAGATCAGTAAGCTGTTTTGTTAACAGCAGCAAGATTGGGGGTTCCAGCTTCATGTCCAGTATACGGCTTGCATCCTCCTTCTGCACGGAGGCGTAATTCATATGCAAGCCTGTGGAAATTACTGTATTTGGGATTCTGGCGCAGGCAGGAAGCTAGCCCTGCTATATGTGGCGAAGCTAGTATGCCCTTAGAATATAATCTAGGTTAAGGGTGAAAACAAGACTTACCCATAGAAGTTCCACTTAGAGTTGCCTCTGCATCTGTGCTGCTTATGCCACAGGAGACAATATTTACTCCAGGTGCATTGAAGTCAAGGACTGAAGACGGTTAGATCAGTTTATTATCTCTTTAAGCCGGGGTCTTACTCTGGCCCCAGTTAGACCACGGAGGCATTGTATCCGTCTGGTCAATTGCCCCGGTAGTCAGGGCGTTCGGTGAACGGGCTGGAGAGGAATGGTGAGCATCTTCCTAGCAAGAAGTTAGTTTATCAATAGAGGATAAGGGATATAAAAGACTGGTGAAATAGAAAAGTAGTGCAGGAGCAAGTGAGAGGAAGAGTATAACTTACACCCCTGTTACCCGCTGCTACCGCAACAACCATCCCTGCTTGAACCGCAGCGTCCACAGCAGAGTCCAAAGCCGGACGATTCCTCCTCCAAGGCTCAAATTCAAAACGGTCTTTGTGATGTCTCGCTCCGTCTGAGCATCATTTACAGCCCATTCGATTCCCCTGATGATTGTTGAAGTATCAGTAGACCCTGAATTGTCCGGGAAGACTTTAACAGCAACAACCGTGGCTTTTTTTGCAACACCATATTTGGTACCAGCTATGGTACCCGCAACATGCGTGCCATGTCCTTGATTGTCAGTATCACTAGCGCCACTAGGGATTGCTATTCCCTATTCAGCACGAGCCCTGCCATTGGTATCAAAGTCCTATAAAGAAGGTTAGAACCGAGTTTTATAATATAAGGCAACTCATACGTTGTGATTAATCTTGATACCAGTATCAACAACATAGGCAGTTACGCCTTGCCCAGATTCATTCTCGTCATAAGTGTACTTATTGTTCCCAGAATTATGCGGGCCGCGGTGTGAAACGCGAGATAAACCCCATGAGGGGAGATTGGGTTGCTCGACGTTATCTTGAATATGAAAGTACTGGTTCGGTTCAACATAGTCGACCTATAAGAGCTTAAGCGAATAGTACATTTGAAGGGGGATTCGGCAAAAGAGAAATAAAATTATAGGGTAAAGGGCTTCCAGATTACCTCAGCTGAGTTTTTGATTGTCTGTAAAACATCGGGAGAGAAAGTTCCCGTATACCCTTTTAAGGTGTATGGAGCGTGTTCTTGTGCAGTGGTGTGTGCATCCCATATGGTCTGAAACGAAAATTTCTCCAAGCCTGCCGGCTTGTGCAATGTTGCCACAGAGCTCTGGTCAGGCTGGGACTTAATCGAGTCAATATGAGATGTAATATCCCGGTCGTTGATATCAGGTTTTAGAACCACGATATAGCTATCAGGGATAGACTGTACAAGATCTGCGAAACCCAGATTGAACTCTTAGTAATCAGAAGGAGTAGGTTGCTGGTATTCTCTTATGTAGGAGAATGTTTTCCATATGCTAGTATCTTTATATATAGCTACTAGGAGATGGTTTTCAAGAGATGATTGCAGAATTCCACCTTCCAAGGTAAATCAGCTGGTTACCTATCTTTCTTCTACATGCATGATCAGATGATAGACAACTGACGTAAAGATTATACTTTTCAAGATCACAAGCACCTTTTTGACCTGTTCTAGACTCCATTTTAGATCTGCTTGCAAGTGCTACCTAGAGAATCTGGTGGCTTGCATAATAAGATATTATGTTAGCAAGAAACTTAAAAGTTCTAACTTCTCGTATAATATAATCTATGGCTTCTATACTTCCGTTTGCGTACAATAGTTCGTAACGGTACAAGTCATACCAGTAGTATACATTTTTAAATTGTGGTTTGTTTGGGTGTTAGAACACGTCATCACATGCGCATGGAGACAGATCTGGGCTATCCAGACTTTAGAGACGACCGGTTGCGTCGTTTGTTTTTATTTCAAATGTGCGTATAGGAACTACCATGGGATTCCTCCTCACAAAGAAACTGTTTGCTCAAACAGACGGTTGAATTCAGAGCAAGCGCATCCATATGCACAAGGAGATTTGTCAGCCATGATTTTAGATACAAGGCACGCTATAGGTGCTTGTTTAATTATTTTGAGCTCAACCTTTTCCCGAATACGACCAGATAACCCTAAGAAAGACGATGACTAGAATTTGTAATCCTGTTTTTGTTGAAAATAGAACATAGCTACCAGCTCTAATAGTCGAATGTAGATACGGTATTTAGAGTTTTCGGCCTTCTTATAGAGCGATCTGGATGGGACTAGATCGCTTCCAAACTTAATCTAGCTTAACCTTTTATTGTACCATGAATAACGCGGTTTGGGGGATCTGCGCCACCGGAGGTGGTTTTTTTGCAATAAGTCTGTTTTCAGTCTATAGCTGAAGCCCTTTTGTGCGATATAAGACATGTAATGCCCTGATTGTCGATAATTTAGAATTAAGATTGACCGACACCCACCCTTACTATATTGAGGACAGTGCTTCTGGCGGTCTTATCACCAACAATTATTATCGTGCCAACTTGTCTTCCCTTACCTAGCCTTGCCCAAATCCACACGTACTTCATACCTCTTTCCGCGCTAGCCATTTTGCCATGGCCTCCGATATCATTCCCCGACAGATTACCGATACAAACATGGTGCCTGACTACGAGGTTAAACTCCGGCTTGACCCAGCCAAGGTTCTTGACATTGATCAGGGACTAACAAGAGATGTAAAATCGGCCTTTGATGTGCTTTCGACTGTCACTAAACTGAATGTCCAATTCCTTGATATGAAGTGTAAGGAGATCTATACCGCCGGCTGGAGCCCCCGCATCCGCAAGACGGAGAACAAGAACGATATTGAGCTCACATATAAGAGGCGGTATGCCATCACGGACGGTGGCATCGACGCTGTCCTCACTACAGCTAATCAGGATGGTTTCCACACTGGTAACACAGAATTCAAGGCGCAGGTTGAATGGGGCTACCAAAAGCAGACACTCTCTATAAGCCACAAGGACAAAGTGAATAATTCTGGGAATAGTGGGATGGGTTTGCCAGGAACGAGTGAATCACGTCAAATTTTAATCAACAAAGCGCCAGATAAGTTCGATAACTGGAAGTATCCAGAATGGGGTACCAGCACGTTATTTGTCTCACGGATTTTCGGCCCTGTCCTTGCAAGACGCTTTACTGGCAATTGGAATGAATTGGAGCTTCACCTTGAGGTCTGGCCTCTCGTCAACTCTGAGGGGACAGGAATTGAGCACATCGTCGAAGCGTCTTTTAAGACAGAGAACCGCGGTACAGCCTCACGTGAGCGGCGCAACTTAGTCAATTTTTTGTCTCTGCCGGAAAGAAATTGGTTTCTATCGCAAGACTCGCTAAAGACGCAGCTCATTATGGAGCGATACTAATATGAGAAAGTGTTGGACCCCTGGTGCTTCCCCATGATCTGGAATCTGTGGTGACGAATTTTGAAAAAAAGGGTATGCTCTGCTAATTATATATTTAGCTATGTTGAACGGTGCTAAATACAGAGGAAATGATTTCTTTTCTGATAGTGTATGACACCTCTGATACTTGTTTCCTGCTTCACGGGGATCACCTATGCCCTCGAAGTCCTGCTCGGCGTCCAAGCCTGCATAGCGCTGCTGGTGTTCTACCACTTCTCCAGTAAGGCCATTCTACCCAACGCTCCGGGGCCCGTCGCTGTGCGCTTCTCTCTGCTTGCCAACAGTCGCCTCGTCCGCCGCCTCCGAGAGGAATTGTTCTGGATCTGCAGGAGATTAAGAAGTGGGACGCGCCCGCCGCGCTGAGCTGGTGACGTCAGGAACCGGATGCGTCCCGCGCGAGCGAGGCCTCGACTTGGCGGTGGTGGGTGGATATCGGATGGGACGTTATCCCAAGGAGCTGGAAGGATACCCCTCCGCCTCCTCCTTCCCTTTCCTCGTCTCCTCCTCCTGCTTCTTTCCTCTCTCCGTCATCGTCGGCTTCTTTTTCTTTCTCATCTTCTCCAGGGGCTTCAGAGGGGAATAACGGCTAGGTTCCGTCAGCAGTATGAATACAGTTGTTGAATGGACGTCAGGGTCTGATATTACTGAATCTCGTGCACAACAGTAATCTTTGATCTGATGGTCCGAGGTATGAAAGAAAATCATACTCAGAAGCTGAAAAAGCAGTACCCGGGAGCCTGCTAAAGAAGGCCCCCCGCCATCCACCACGGCTCGTGTAGCCGAGGGTCTGATACCATTCAAGCATGCATCAGCCCTCTTAGGGCAAGTTCCGCAGATCATCCAGTAGCAAGGTTCCCGTGCAGCAGGATTTCACACAGGAGACGAATCATCTACACCATTTTCAGGTACAATAGCATTCGTCCACATACCAGTGCTGTGTAGATGCGACCGTGTAAGTGTTTCTTTTTCGATTTCGACAGGTAGTACGCAAGGCACCTATTTATAGTCCGTGGGGACGCAAGAGGGCGCACACACAGGATGGTCGTTGTGACAAGCCCCAAGTTCACTTTATTTAGTCACTGCTGGAGTCAATCCCTTCAGGTCTCGACAGAATCCTAGCAGATCCGGTAGAAGACAAGAGAGATCGGGCTTTGCGTTTGGTTCGGACAAGAACATGTCTGTGATTCGCTCAGCGCAGCGTCCAAACTCAGCGGTAGAAGAAGGTACAGTGCTTAATTTGTATAGCAAGTCTACCACCATGCCATCAGGGTGAATTTACGCTTCATGACTTAAGGCAGCGCAATAAATAGGGAGGTGCCTGCTTCGGATTGGCCGGAAACTGTGGCGGACTTAGTTAGATAGTACAACCAATTAACGGTAGCATAACGACACAACAGCAACATCGTATCGAATACCTCCTTTGAGACAATGGCACCGACACACTCCTTCTGCTATATGTTCTTCTATTCTTGTCTCTAATAATTGGCTCAATTACAGTGTGTCTTTGCCTCTGCCGGCAGAACCACGCAAAAAGTTAAGTGGGACGGAACGTTAAATAACGACATTACATATCAGAGGAATCGACTCCATCGTAAAACACCCTACTGCATAGCCTGGACCAAGTTGCCCCTTCTCCCCATTATTCCGCCGGCGCAAGCTGTTGGCTTCGGTATCTAGGTTCTTCTGCTTGACTAGAGTATACCTCTATATCCTTGTCTGGATAGGCCGTCGATCAGAGTAGACCGGAGTGAGCAGATGCCACCAATTGCCATATGAGGACTAACAGCATGTCTATGAGTTAGTGTACGCTGAAACAAAACACAAACCACAGGCTTAGCACAAACGGATTTACAATTGACATTTGAATATACAAATCTATTTAATGGCAACATTAACGATAGTAGAACTTCCGCCAGGTGTTGATCCGGTACCCGTAGTAACACCTGAGGTACTCACCTGGCCTGTCCTCGGAAGCGCCTCAGGATGCTAATCTGGTCTACAGTTCAGAGCCTGATGTTCTTAGAAGGCAGAGCTGAAAAAAATTTGAAGAGGGTCATTCTGCTAAAGGAATTGCTCTCAAGTCAGGTTTTTCAAAGCGGTTCCTTTCATGGCACTTACCGATATCTTTCTCTTGTTAATGAAAACTGTCACCCTGAGAGTATCTTACTCATTCACTCTCTACACCATTTCCCGACGAACTCCATTCCACTTCACAATTTTATTTGTGAATATCTGCTTCTAACGTTCCAATCCTCAAGGATAAAATGACCCCAGCGAATCCTCTCCTCCTCTTCCTCCTTCCACCTCGCAAGTCAGCGCAAACTCGACCGGCACCATGAGGCTCTCTACTCTGTGGTTTGTCTTCGCCCTCTGCTTTAGTATAGCAGTTGCGGTGGCTGATATCTCGCTTCCCGCTGAGACTACCATCCTCGAGGTGATCAACACTGTTGTCGTTGTCAGCACACGCGGTAATGGCGTGAACCACATGGCTAGTTGCCCGTGTTGCACCACCTACCCTGTTACCACACGCACCTACACTGTCAGTAACGGAGTTACTCTCTCTTCGACTGGCAGCGTCAGCACATCAACCATCCCCCAGCCGCCCTCGACCGCTACTGGCCCACTCCCATTCCCTGCGGTTACCTCTAGTGCATCGGTGATTGCCATCCGCTTCCACGATGCCATACCAATCATCGCGTCCTGGGCACTGGACTCCGAGCCGCCTCTCCAAACCAAAGCCATCGACAGCGTCAAACGGGTTAAGCATGATATCGAGGACCTCGCTGAGAAGAGCGGCCATACAATGCCTAAGTGTGGTTGGCAGAAACGCGGTTTGTTCGATGGTCTTTTGAATCTTGCTGGGAACACTATTTGGCAGATTTTGGATAAGCTCTCGTGCATCGATACAAAACTAGATGATCTTGTGAAGAGGATCAAAGACAACGATGTCAAGGGAGTCCAGAACATCGTGGAGGCTTTGGACCTTGAAAAGCCCCCTAATCCTGGCAAGGATAACAAGAGTTCCACCTCCTCCTCGTCGAGTTCAACATCTTCGTCGTCATCATGTACCTCGAAGTCAACTGTGCACCATGTCACGGTTCTTTGTAAGCCAACCTCTACGATTACTCGTGGTTCAACCGTCTCAACTACCACATGCTCTCCGACAACCACCATCACCATCACTGGGTGCTCTGTAACCGAAACTACCACAACAGTCACCAGCACCCCGGGTTCCACACACCTGTGTTCACCGCAAGACTGCGGTAATGCATGCCGAGCTGGAAAGGGCGGGTGGGTATTCGTCTCGTCAGTGAACTGTGCCTCTATCCCGACAAGCACCGTGTCAGCGCTGCCCACGGGCAACGGAGGAATAATCCATGGTCGGCGTGGTCTCGTTGGCCAAGCCACAGGACCCAAAGAATTCAACCTGACTTTCACCCTTGACAAACGCAGCTTGCCTGAACTCTCAGAGGTGAATCCATTCAGCTGGCTCTTGTTTGTTAACCACGCCATAACCTACAACGACCTCTGGGCAAGCCAGCTCAAACCCGTTACAGGCAAATGGTACCCCTGGCCAGAAGTGTACTCTGCGCTTGGCGTCAAGGGTCTCCACGGATGCACAGTGCTAATGATAACCACGAAAGACGGCGTCTACCTCTCGCACATGTTCGAGTCTCCTATCTTCCGCAGCGGGGACGAGCCCACTGTACCCGATGACTACTTCATGGATCAGACATTCAATGCACTGAGGACGGGCCGTACCGCACTCGACGGTGTCAATGACCAGGTCGAACCGATGCAAGGCCTTTGGGGAACAGACGAGCACCCCGGTCCCCTACACCGAACGAACAATCCTCAACTCATCATAATTACGCCATTCGTGGAAAGCCGGCAACCCCAAGAATATGTGTACCCCCAGCGTGTGAGCTGGCTAGCTGCACAGTTTACCCACTTCTTGTACTTCCCCAGCAGCGGTGCGCCAGAAGACAAGGCACCTATCATTCGCGGGTACGAGCGGACGGATTTCTGGGAGTCCAACAACGACGATTCCGACTCTGGCAAGGCCATTCTGGAGGTTGAAAAGTACAACAGATATCTGCAAATAGGCACCCGTTTCCTCCCCATTGGGCAATGGCGGCTGTGGCTATGCGGGAAGCATGTGATGGACTACGAATTCTGGGATACGGGGGCAGTTTTTGGTGGGCAGGAGCATATCCATCGGCGTGATCGGTGCGCGGGACATACTGTTCCTCCCACGATGGTGACCTCAAAGAGCACTACCACCACCAGCACCTCTACCACCAAGTCTACTACCAAGTCTACAAAACCTACCGACCCACCGACAACAAAGCCCAGTATCGGTGATCAAACCTGCCTCTCGAACCCGAAGCCTCACCAACCGTTCAACACCCACGCTATCGACCAGCTCGCCGCCCTATGCGACCGCGGAAAGATCTCGCCATATGATCAAGAAATGGGACCAGACAGTGAACCGATCAAATGGTCAGCGGGGTCCCCCTCGAACTCGCAGTACTATGTCACGATCAGCTGGGTGAAAGGATGCAACGGACCGAAACAGATGCCTATCGCACCGATCAAGGACCAGGCGGTGGGATACTCTTGCCAAAATACCATCAAGAATAACTTCAATAAGTGCCTCGACAATGATGCTTATGGGGGAAGTAGAGTGCTTGGATGTTTGGAGTATCGGGCTTGGGTTGAGAACTGATCCCTTTATCCTGAATCCAAGGATTCCATGCAAATCTAGGCGATTCTGCTTACTGCTTTCTTAATTCTTCTGTTATCAGCTGGGCCTTCTCTCAGGTTCAGCAGCCAACAGTCGACTTGCTTGCTGATTTCAATCAGGACTTGCTTGCTACTATCAATCAATCCATACATTCTCCTTTACGTTTTACCTCTTCGAGATACTCCTGCGGCTTCAAGGGCGGGATTTCTAATGTATCAATTAATGAATCCATAACGAAAGATAGCCCATGTAGTAAAATACCCAAACTAGCGACACTAACCATCACCTGTTTCCCAACGATCGCGCGATCAATAGCTGACCCGCATCCCCGACTTACTCCACCCACTGCACTTGGTCTCATTACCTTGTCAACCGAACGACCTGGAAGAAGTTCAAGGGATTCAAAGTACTAAAAAGCAGCAAAAACATACAACAGAAGGGATTCGCTGGTGGTCACCCACCCAACTACTAACCTCCCGGCGTGTGGCTTAAGTACGGCTGAGCGGACGGGAAGCC